ACGTTCCTTATACCATACATTGATCTCAATATTCCTGTGTTTGAAATTCCTGTAAGACGAATATAAAAGTTTTAAACACGATCAAAATAAGAGAGGGTTTATGAGATAAAGTCATTTGAGAAAACTAGACTGCCTGTTTGTAAATACTTGTTCGCGTCGCTTTGTGAGAAAGATTCAAGAGCTTCTCCTCCATATATTACAGGCCGCGGTTAACTGGGATTCAGCGACGAAAATGAATGAAATAAATTATTTATTTACCAGTTGATGATCAACCAATTTAGCGGAGAGAAATATCTGCAATAAAAGCTGAATTAATGTGAAATACTTGGTCAGATAATCGTGCTCACATCGTGGTGAGCATGGCCCTAGGCTTAGTCCCCTAATACAGGAGAAAGGTTTTTTTTTGTAATTAAACAATCATTCGACAAGCTGTTTCCCCGCTTGCACAGGCATATTAGACTCACGGTGTAAAAAATACACTAAGTTTCACCTGTTATCATTCGAAGCAACAGCAGAAACACGATCAGTAAACATCGCTTACAGTGCAAAAAAGGTTGAGCGCTGTGCACATCATGTTATTCCGTTTGTAAATATAGTAATGACTTGAGAAAACGTAGACAAAGCGTTTTAAGTACAAACCTTCTTGGAAAAAACTTCTTCCCTAAACTGTCTCGCGATGACTTATAACATTCTGATCAGGACTTGCTCCGCCTTATATTTTGATAATGCTAATTTACGAGATCTCTTTTCTACTGATCTGTGTGACGAGGTCAATTTAAAAATCCTTTTACCATAGTAATTAAAGTCAGAAAACTTCTTCCAATTGTGGAAAGTCAACGACTTTATTTGTTAAGAGCTTTTCCCACACGCTTTTCGATTAATAAGGGTTTTCATTTTTCTCCGACAGCATTAGCTAAATCTGTAAAGTGAGTGTTGTTTAAAATTCACAATTCAATTTATTTTCCAGCTATATTACCGCAAGCTATGACAGAAATTACTGTAAGAACACTGAATCGATTTGAAATACCTGGTAACATAATCGTTTTCGCATCAGAGAGGTTATGCATGGCTTTGTGACATAAAAGTCGCCAACCAAATGTAGAGGAAAAAAACAAACGACGATGCAAGCTGCATAGTAGAGGTGTTTTCCTACTTTGACCGATTTCAACATGTTATCATCCGGAGTAATCATCATCCGGAGTAATAATAAAAACATGATCGGCAAACCTTACTTGAAAATGTAGAGAAATACTAAAGCGCTGAGTGCACTATCTCGTAATGGAAATGTGACAGTTACTTGTGAAAACCTAAAAGAAGTATTTTAAGCACAAACCTTACTGAAATACTGCTTTCTTCCTTTGAGACAAACACCATTTTAACCAGACTTTCCACGCTTTACGTTTTGGCAGTAGGTGACCTTTAGTCTAGTATACTTGGCTCCAGCCTGAGGTCATTTTTTAATCGAATTCGAAGTATATCATTACCTTTCGAAGTTAACTTGGGGGTTATAATGAATAGCGGGCGCACCTGGTTTGAATAGTAACCTGTAACTTGGAAGTGTTAAACACACTTGGGCTAAAACAAAATTCTGAATCTGTTATTTAAATCAGATCGCATAAGATTTCGCTTAAAGTTTGACAGGCTGGATAAGTGTGAAATTTTTTTTTTTACTTTTCGACTTAAAACATGTGGAAATTAATTCCGTTCTCTTTGAAATTAACCTAAAATTTTCAATGAAACTACTGAACTTAAAAATGTATCTTTCTATCTTTCATTATGGCCTTCAGTTCTCAGTTTGAGGTCTTTCCGAGATAAGAATTGTCGCCTACGTTACAACAAAAAGAATAATTCAGAATAATAGCACCCATTATGGAATGAAAGTTTAGAATTGACGATAACAATCATTAACACGGAAACATCCCACGTCCGCTTTAAGTCTTCAAATAGAATATTTTTCTGTCACCTTCTCCATACAAAATTATAATGACAAAGGGCATGTGCAAAAAAGCTTTTTGGACAGTAAGTCAGCTCTTGAAAGAGAGGGAAACAAACTTTATCATCAAAAACAATGGATTTTCCCAATGTATTTTTCAACACTGAGATATAGAGCAGTTGTGTAAAACCTGGGTGTGTGCAAAAGCCAATTAGAGTTAGAGCTTTTGTAGTATTCGTCCGTTATGAGACGAATAATACTTTACTTTAAATTAAAGCAATTAGCTTGAGGGAGATTTTGATCACCATAAAATTAGTTTCGTTGAATAAAAAGTAAATTGGACATATGAGCTTGCTTGCCGTTGAAACCTAGAAACAGATTGTTTCAGATCCATTAAAATATCAACAAAGATGCTAATTAAGCGAGTGTATGTTTAGGTAACCATTCCTCCTAAGAGCAAGTCGTAAGCCTTACGCTCAAAAAAGCTACCGAGTTAGCAACGGCAGAAACGGAAGCGATACAAATCATACTTTTCATATCACTTTTCTTAATGATGCTACTTTGTCTCGTCCCCTTTGAAAATCTAAACACTAGAAATACTGTAAAATACTTGTTAAAAAAATCATTTGTATGACGCGGCATTCCACCTTTTCAAGCAAAATCGTTAAGAATCGCACTCAAAGTCCCGTTTGTGAATACAGATGTTAGCTGTGTGATTTGTGAATACAAGATGTTAGCTGTGTGAATTGTGAATACAAGATGTTAGTTGTGTGAATTGTGAATACAAGATGTTAGCAGTTTGGTCCTCTATCGCAGAAAGATTCTACTTAACATACGATCTTGAGCCATTAAATATATTTTTTTCTTCACCCTTTAAAATCGGCAATCAGAAAAACGGGTTAGATGTTAACGTTCAAACTTGGTTTCAAGTTCATTTTTGTTAAAAAGCTTTATGTGGCTGCCCGAGTGAACATTGTTGATTGATCTCTGAGATCAAGTTATTTTTGTACATTTACTGGCTTCACTCCAGGTGATTATTAAAGCAACCACGGGTTCATTTATTAAAGTGTTCTTATTCCGAAATATCGAAAATTACATTGCTAAGCGATCAAATTGAAATTTTAAGTTCAATGTGATATTCATCCTATTAGTAATGATTGAAATCAATGTTCAGTGTGATATTAATCCTGTCAGGAACGTTTATGACAAGATATAACTATAACACTGACCAATCAGAGCGTGTGTATGTCAATCGTACTACTATCCTTTTGCTACTTAAATCACTTTGCGAGATGAGTACACCAACTTGCATTACTGACGTTTCAGGATGTAGAGAGGTTAATGTTCTACGCTGGTTGTAGAGATAATTGGGATTATGAGTAAAAGTCCTACAAATAAAATTGCACTCAGAACTTTTATTGAGGTAACCTATAATGACGTCAGTCAGCTGACGCCAGAACTAGTTATGGTTGATTTTATGAATTGAATATTCAGATAAATTGTTTTTGTTGTTATTTGTTGAGGTATCGATCGAAGCAAAATGAAGGCCCCGGCTTGTCTTTTACAATACTTTTGATGCGTGAAAAAGGGCTCTACTGTTTAAAAAGAAGAAAAAAAATTTGAATTTTGACGAAAAGGATCATGCTGAAGATAAAAAAAACAAAAACAAAAAACAATGTTTTTCACGCATTGAGCCAATACTCCACATCCTCCCGTCTTGCACTCAACATTATTCAAAGATGTGTGGGAAAATGGCTGCTTTGTTTCTGTAGGGTTAGGAAATTGATGTTGTTATGAAGAACAAATTCTGCGGGAGATAAAACTGTTCAGAAAAATCGATGACGTTTTTCATTTAGTGAGCGAATACAATACACCTTCACGTCCTGTGACTTAACAATATTTTGATGTGTGAGGAAAACGGCTGTGTTGTTTATGTAGGGTTAGGACATTTTGTGGTTATGAAAACAAAAATCATGCGGGAGATAAAACAATTCAGGAAAATGGAGGGTGTTTTTCGGTCAGGAAGCAAATACAAAGCGTCAACATTCAAATCCTTCCAGTATATAAGTAAGTCGTTTATGTCATAAACCTAAATCCTGATAAGTGATTTAGCTACCACGAGTTCCCTATGATAGGCCGCATACAGTTTTTCCATTAAATTAGCTTTCAGCTGAAATCGGTTCGCAATATTTTGGTGTCGGTCTCCAGCGAAAACTTAGCAATGAATTATTTTCGCTGACCTCGTCTGACGATCGAAAAACAGCATGATGCCGCTGTTTTAAAGGACACCGGCTCGCATTTTAAATGCAATATCACTCAGTCGATATGGGCTCAATTTCCAAGCACTAGATCTCTCTTGAAGGCCGGAACCCCGTCACAGGCTTTAGAAACTTTAATTTGTATATTTCAAGTTCATTATTTGCGAGGTGTGTTCTTCAATCCGGTTCCTTTCCCTCACCGCACCACTCCTGTTTGGTGTGCTCATCTCCCTGTTCACACTTCTCTTTTGAAGAAGACAATAATCAAAGGGCTTTATCTATAAAAGGACGATTCTCATCTTTGTTTAAAGTGACATAACATAACGACGCAGCTCTTTTTAATGCACTAGATCAGTCAGTTGATATAGGCTCAATTAACCAGATCTCGATCCATCTGACGTCATTCTTCGTTAGTGCAGTAAGGCTAATGCCCGCTATGCGTGGGCTGAAATCTATTGACGGAGCAGGGTGGGTAAACTAACCACGATATTACTGCTATTTTTTTTTCGCGAAATGGTTCCCAGCAAGAGAAAACAGAGGCCATTAATCCAAGTGATCAATACCTTGTGATGAAGGTGCCTCCCTGCAAAGCGGTGCGAGTAAATTCGTTGTCAAAAGCTGAAAAAATGAAAAAATGGTGTTAGTGGAAAATTTTTATTCATTCTGTTTCATTCACTCTTCGTTGCGAAGTGCTTGATGTATCTGCTGAACGTCGGTGTTCCCTCCCCTCCCCTCCCCTAGACAAAAACTCTATCGTCCCATGGGACGCGAATAAAAGGTACTTCCCAGTGTCCCATCAAACTTTATTTATATCAACACATGAACGCGCTCTCTTGATCTCTTGTTTACAGAGTTCACAGACTGATTGTCGATTTTCCTGAGGCATTTTTATCTCACTATGGCTTTTTTCTGCCCCATGAGAATTCCAAGAAGACGAAGGAAACGTAAGTAGGCAATTCTAGTAGTAGGTCGAGTTTGAAAATCGTTTATGAGTTTTCTGTTTACACGCTGGTCCTTGCACCTTTGTCAATATCTTTGACAGGATATCGAGATGAAGAACAAAAAGACACCACTCGAAATGGAAATGCTAAGGGAAGGATCACAGGTAGCAATAGTGTGGACTCTATTGTGGATCTTGGAAAAGAAGAAGAGGATAACGAGATCGAATTTGAACCACGGAAGATGGTTGTGCTTCATGATTTTATACCCTGCGTCGAAGATGAGGTCGCGGTAAAGCGCGGTCAACATGTCAAAGCTCTTTACCAAGAAACAGACTGGATCTATGTCATAATAAATGATGGAAAGGAAGGTTTTATACCATTTACGTACTGCGTCCCAGAGGAGGAATACGAAAAGCGGAAAGAGAAGCAGAAAGGGCTCCAAAGGAATAACTTTCGAAACGCTTCGTTTCTCGATTCTTTGCATGTGCAAACAGATAATCCACCGTCGTATAATTTTAAGAAAGATGATTTTGGTGATTACATCGTCAGATTTGAGTTTATTGCCTGCGATGAGAACGATATTTATGCCAAGAAAGGAGATAGAGTTCGCGTTTTAAACAAAGATGACAAGGATTGGTATTGGGTCTCAAAGAAGGATGGTGTTGAAGGATTTATTCCTAAAGATTTTCTTGTTCCGCTGGACGGATTCGAAAATGGCGGTGGGTGCCTTACTTTTGTTTTCATAATCGTGTCAGTGATTTTCGAGTACCTTTGTACAATTGTAAGGGTCGATCATTGTGTGAATTTGTGCCGATTGAAGAGTGTTCGAAGCTACTTACTAGAGGGCGCGCTCGCGGTGGGAGACATAATTCCGAACCTACTTGACTGGATACCAACGTTTCCAATAACATCGCTAATGTGTATCATGATCACTAAATCGCATTTCGTTAAGTTCTTTTAAACAAATGTTAGGTCTCAGTTAACTAAGAAAACATTTCTCTCGGAGATCAAACCTTAATGATCAGTTAACTTAATTTATTTACCATGTTTCTGAGAGAATTTTGACTCAAACAGTGTTGGCTAATTTTATGCTATCGAGCTTTCATTTTCCTTCAGTGGAAGCGAAAATTCTTGTCATGGTCAATTACTGAACTTTTAATTGATAATGTGTTATCACTCTCGGTTCAAAGCCGTCAATAAGGGTAATTTATCTGTACAATACTATCCTTGACAAAATGAGGCACTTGCTTGAATTTCTCTGAAGATTGGTGTTAACACTTCATTGATTTAGAATATTATTTCCAACAAAATTTTAGTAATTCACTTTCGTCTTTTTTTTTTATCCTCCTTGCTTTGAGATTCTTAGCCTCTATCCTACCTTATTATTCAAACCATGTTAACTCGTCTCATGCAGATGTAAAATAAATTGGTGTTTTAAGGACAGGAGTTAACCATTACTTAGCACAACATGTTCATAAGTGTAATTCATCAGGCTGGAAGTCAATTGGCCAAATTTTTATTCTGCTCAAAAAGTCAAACAGAGAAGTAGTTAATATCCAGCCATTATAACATAACAAGCTTGTCACAATTTTTTGATGAAATATGTTTCCTGTGGATGAAATTCAAGCAAAGAAATGATTCTTGCACTGTCAAACTAAAGCAAGAATATTCACAGGCTTCTTTTCTGCAATTTTGGATAAATTGCAATCCATTGGCAGGGATCATGAGCTAATGAGCCAGCTTTATTTAAAGATCTTTATTACACAAAATGTCTGTTTGAAAACTCCTAGTGGCTTATCAAGCTAGTTGTCTTTCAGCTCATCATTTTTTATGAGAGATGGTTTGATTTTAGTCTCTTACTGGGGTATTGATCCCTCGGAATAATTGCCTTCTACTTTCTCTTGCTGGGAACTATTTTACAAAAGAAAAATGAACAGTAATATTGTGATTAGTTTATTCACCCATCTGCGTCAATAGATTTTAACCCATGCATAGCAGGCATAAGCCTTACTATACTAACAAAGAATGACCAAGAGAGGTCAAGATCTACGTAATTGAGCCTAGATCAACTGACTGAGTTGTTGTAAAATGAGAGTTCTGGGACAAGACAGGTACTAAGGATAAAAAGTGTTCTTAGACAAGTAAGAACAAGTAAGCTGACTTCTTTGTTGATAGAGGTTGCTGTAGGGAGTGCAAGACAAGGAGTTATTGTATTGAAAACCTGTCATGACATTGCTTTTCTTTTCATTAAAATGTCTGACAAGTGCTTCTATTTTTCTAGATTTAAGTCCATCAACTGTTCAAAATCATTTGAATGGTGGCAGAAGAATATCTGAGACCCGAGTTTCGCCATTGTCAACACAAGTTGGAAGCCCTTACAGAATAACAACACCAGATTCCAACAGGTCAACAAAAAGTACAAACTCATCCTCAGAACCTTTGTTAATCACTCCTTCCTCTAGCCTAAATGGCTACAGCCTTGTCACTCCAAACAATAAGACAGAAGCATACCACCAACGTCGTAGCACTAATGAGCTTTTGCTTTATGGACAAGAACTTGTCTGTACTGATACCTACATAGCTAGAAGGATGGATGAACTTACTGTAAATAAAGGTGATTGGATTTATGCTGACATGAAAATCAAAGATGCAAGGGGCTGGATTTGGGCATACTCACCTTCAAACAAGACACAGGGCTATGTCCCCAAGTCATGTGTAAGACCACCAGCAACCACACCTCTTTGATTAAAATTCAGGTAGTATCGTTTTTGTGCATCTTTAGGATAAAATAACTGGGACTATTTTAGACTATTTTAGAGACAAAAAGTACAGACTACTATTATTGTGAAATTGTCAGGATGTGCAGCAAACACGCTGTGTCAATACATTTTAAATGTTCTTGAAGAAAGTGCATATTGATTTTTCAATGAATCTGATTTGAATGTTTTATATATATATGATATATTAAGCATAATTTGTAAAGGGAGAATGAATATTTTATGAATTTAAGGAATTCACTTAGAAGAGATCTGTACTTGAAATATTCTGGATGTTAGTCTAAAGTCAATTTGAGCCCTTTCATCCTTGTGACAAATCCTTCATGAAGTTTAACTCATGAGACAACTGTTATTTGAAGTGAAACATCACCATCAACATGATGTTATAGAGTGTTTGACGCAATGTAGTTTATGTGAGTAGAATTTGGATAGTGCACTCTAGGAGACTGGTAGACTTGCTGGAAACTAGTGTTAAGGATTTGTCACCATGGATTTATTAACCTTAAGACATGGTACCAAACAATTGAAATGTTAAAAAGACAAAGGCTAAGAAGCCACCCCCATTGTGATTATTTTTTGGAACTCCTCTGTTCAGGGTTTTATCTTCCACCCAGCTCCTCTTTTTGTAGTTCTTAAAGAATTTCTAATGAGTCATAAGTGATAAAGATTCAAAGTAATCCTTGCCTTGGAAAAAGATGTTTACTAGTAAGTTTTTATAAAAAAATATTTTTGAAGATTCCAGAGACATCTATAGTCAAATGTGTACTAACCCTCAGCACTGTTAGCCAGTGATTATAAAAGATCCAATACGAGGAAAAGGTAGTTTCTAACCCTTTCACTAGTCTAGCTAGTCTTCTTATTGTACGCCATGCAACTCATATGATGTTAGGTTGGAGAATTTGGTATTGGATTAGTTAATTACCATCCAATCAATACTTTTCTTTATTCTCATTGCTTGTCTACTTGATATTGTATCGATATTGTAAGGAGAAATTCTGTCTCGGTCACTCATGGGAGTTGAAGGGTTAAAGACAATAAGCTTCAAAATGATTTAAGCAAAGTTTTGAATTTTTGTTAATGTAAGGAATCATTTAGTCAGTGGCTAGGTTTTTAGGCACCCGAGTTGTCACATGATTGTTTTGTTTTCATGATTTGCACATAAGTATTAAATCGTTAAGTTTCTTGCAGTGAGTGAGCCCATTTTATATGCATTGTGTATGTAGCTTGTTGATTCTTAGCCAATTGGTGTTAATTTCATTATATGACTGAGTAACTTTTTATTAGCAAGTATTTACAATAGATGCAAACTAGTGTACTCATTAAATATTATTGAGCTAAGAAGGTACTCACAGATTCTGTATTTTCAGACAGGTAAACTGCAGTATTTATATAAATTTATGAGGAATTTTATTAAAGTATTGTATTTATTAAGATATGGCTGTACTCCGCTCTATGCATATGCCTCGGTGACTAATGTAAGATAGGCAGTCCCTGATAACAAATGCATATGAAAAAGTTAGAGTGGCTACCTAATTGTACTTCTGGGGCCAGTTGTGCTTCTGGGGCAGTTGGGTGTATTTCAGGGTTCAAAACTGCACTTGCTTGGATTTTTCTTGTATAAAGGTGTTTTTGGGGCCAATTTGCAGTCCTCATTTTGTACTCCTGTGGGGATTTCTTCCTGAAAGCAAGCCACTGCTCTAGATATTTCAAGGGACCCTAAATAACAGGAAAACCTTCAACCTGCTCCAACGTTTTCTAGGAGGATGTTTCAGAGATGACCCTGTAAAACTTGCATGTAAACGAAGCTGCTTCATGAAATATCTTATTCACTAGGGACAAAATAGCACCGAACAGTATAGTCAAGTCTTGTATGAAAAGCACTTTTTTTTTTTTACAAAAACTGCATTAGGCTTGTATTCAACGCTTCTCCTCTAATCGCAAAGTCAAATGCCGAGAAACTTAAAGGACTTCTCAATCTTTTTACCTGTTTCTTTGCTAATCACCCTCGTTTCCAGGTGATGCTCGTGGTGAGGAAAATAGAGGTCTGAAAACTAATTTGATACAAAGAAAGCAAACTGTCAGACAACCTGTCCCTGACTGTAACTATTTATAAAAAAATTCCTTTAACGACCGCTTCATCGATTCGCATATTTCTCTCAATTTAAGGTAAGTGAGTATTCTCACCACTGTTAATCGATCCGCAATTGCTAAACTCGTTTCTCTGACAAACACAAAACTGTCAATTGAATGATTGAATGAATGAAATTTGCATATTCGTCAGCACCTGTTCGGTTCAAAAAAGGACTGAAAACAGATTTAGTGGAAAAACAAAACCTTGCAGTCTCAACGCGATCGTTAATCTATCCTCTTCTGTATTTACACATTGACACTAAGTACAAACATGAATTCATTTTAGGAAATGCTGGCGCCAGAAGAATCCATCGAAGAGTGCAAAGAAGCATTTTATCTTTTCGACCGAAGGGGAGACAAGAAAGTTGAATGTAGCCAAATCGGAGAAGTCATGCGGGCTCTCGGAACGAATCCGACAGAAAGCGAAATTTCAAAAATTATTCGTAATCTGGATACTGATAGTACTGGTGTAAAGCGAGTTAGCTTCGAAGAATTCTTCCCATTTTATCAAAATCTGCTTGATCGGCAAAAGAAAAGTGGAAGTAAGTTGTATAATATAAATTTAATTGCTTTCTTTCTTCGCTTGTCTGTAGGCTCGCTTTTATTATGGCTTCATGAAACTTAGTTTGCGTTTTCCTTTTAAGGATCTAAAGGCAACGATAATATATACGAGGTCTGAAACAGAAACCAATTTTAAAAGACAAACGCTAACATTTAAAAGGTGACAGTGATCTGTTTTATTGTTAAATTACTCAAAGTACTTTGCTGGATCAAGCTACATCGCAGATCCAACGCATGATTTGCTTTAGGCATATAGTTTTAAATGAGTTTAAGATAACTTATTTCAAACAAAACGATAAGAAGTAAATATGAAAGCGATCTCCGCAGTAATGAACACTACTTAAGCAGCAGAAGTGAAAATAGAGCTTGAAAAAAATCAGGCCTCGACGGGAGTTGAGCCCATTACCTCTGCGATGCCGGTGCAGTGTGTTGACAACTGAGCTTACAAACCTACTGGGAGCTGGTCCTTATGTTGGTCCCGAATAAACCCGTGAAGTGATGTATAAATGACTGTGAATATATATGAAAATCATATATGTGAACTGCGCATAAAGAATCGAATATGAAAGCGATCTTCGCAGCAATGAGCACTACTTAAGAAGTGGAGGAAATAAGGCCTGATAAAAAATCAGTTCTGCTTACGTAATGCTCATTATTGCGAATACCGCTTTCATATTCACTTCTTTATACACAGTTCACATCATGATTTCCATAAATTCACAGTTATTTAAAACAATAAGACTCATAGCTCATTCAAACCAAAAATAAAAGCTGTTTCGCAAAACACGGTTAAAGTTGTTTTCCTCCTAATCGTTGCTAAAACTGATATTTGCCGACTTCAAATATAGCCGAATGAAAATAAACACTGGTGATCATTGGAACCTTAGGTAAAATTCAGTTCTTCAGCTTTCTGTTTTTGATTTTCATTCAGCTAAAACTGGTTTCGCGAAACATGTTTCCTGGTATGAATGGGGTATTCGTTGACCAAAAAATTTTGACTCCCTCAGGAAGACTGACTGATAAAGAACTTGCTAAAAATCTTTCACGATAATTTTCGAGTTTAATTCGCATTGTATCTTTCCCTTTCCAGTTGATCCGGAGCACTTTATCGATTGTCTTCGAGTCTATGATCACAACTGCAACGGGCTCGTAAACGCCTCCGAATTACGTCAGTTGTTACGCTGTCTGGGTGACAAGTTGACAACTGAAGAGCTTGATCAACTTTTGCTTGGGTTCGAAGATAGTGACGGCCTGATTTTGTACGAGGACTTTGTGAAACACATCATGTCAGGATAGAATCACGCGCAGCTGATCAAGAAAACATGTCTTTTCTTCTTCCCTCGTTGATGAACTTTAAACTTTATATTTGAGATGATAGGAACCGAATAAAGTTATTAGTTAAAACAGACTCGCGATGAGTGAAGATTCCTCCGTATTTATTAATTTACCACGAAGTTAAAGTAACCGTCTTGACTACAACTAGTCCCAAGTCAGAGGAGATCCAGGATTGGTTGGTGATTGGGGGGGGGGGGGGTTTAACCTTTGATTCAGAAAACAAAAAGTATCTTCTTAAACCACGTCCCCTGAATAAGCTGAGAAATATTTCAAGACAGGTAAATTTCAAATACATTATTTTGAGTTGTAACCTGCAATTTTGTCGTTGCAAGAATTTTGGTGTTTAGCGAAAAAAAAAAGGTCTAATGGGGGAGGGTACGGACCCCCGGACCTTCCCCCTTGGAGTGCGAACGGTAATCCTGAGGGAATCGAGAACAACAGCTGTGGAGGGGGTCATTTAAATGTTGGGATTATTCATGTTCACCACGGTTAGCAGAATCGAAGATTGAAACGTCTTGGGAAGGAATGAAAAGCGAGAAGGAAAAGGAAAAAGGAAAAAGGAGGAAAGGAAAAGTGAAACTCTCTCGTATCATTCCGCGTTATTTTCCTTAAAGTAAAATCTCCTTCATCAGGAGCGTGCTTTAAGCTGGCCGAATCCTTAGAAAGATTGATGATCTTGTCTGGTGTTCCGTCAATCCTCAGTCACTTCTCTCCCGTGGAGAACGATGTATTTTGAATATGTTTGGTTAATTTCTTGAGCTGGTCATTTATCAATCAAACTGATGCACCTTTCCATCAACTTCGGCTCATTTTTTCGTTTCTGATATTTTGGTGCGAACAAAGTAAAGTAATATTAACGTGCGCTGTCAGCTGACTGGGGAGAGGAAGCTTGCACTTATTGCAATAAGTTATACATCGGCGAAACAGGAAGACGACTAGGTGATGACTTGGAAAGAAATGAAGGACGCATCCAAACCATGACAAGGACGCATCTCCCCTCCCATGTGACAAACAAACCTGGAAGTGCAGCGAAGCAAATTCGTAGTGTATAAAGTGTTTTAAGTAACTGCGTATTTTACTGTATTCTGGAGAATTTCAGCGATATTAGGTGATCAAGGTAACACATGTATGTAATTATGGCTGTAAGGAAACGTTTTGATAATATTTTTTGGAAAGTATCCTTCACGGATTGGGCTTTTGTTGCTTCAAGTCTAGGGTTGACTTGGAGGAAGTCTTGAGGAAGTGCCTGATAGTTGTGGTCAAAAATCGTATATTTTCTAGCTATTTGAAAAACACCTCTATTAAAAGCCTAGCTGTTGAAACTTTCCTTAATTTTTGCTTCCTTTCCGGTGTACCTAAAATTGACTTTCAGAGCGAGATGGCTTATTCTGCTTACTCAACAATCCAGCAATACAATGCGAGATCGATCTAGAATTTTCACTTCACTTCCAACAAATTTCATGAATATTTCTTGGTTGGAAGTAGTTATTTTTGCTCTTAAGCTACGTAATGAACGTTGAATCACTGCCAGTGTAGTGCCGAGATGATAATACACGATAGAAGACGTACATGTAAAATTAATCATAGATCCCATGCTGAGATGTTAGGATTCTTACGGTCAATTAGTGGGTTAGCTATGCACTCAGAGGTGATGCAGACGTAATGTAGAATCGTATTTTTGCTGTAGGATTCTATGTGTTGACTTGAAATAGAGATGAGGTCTTATTAATGCTGACTGTTGCAATAATGAAATAATTTCTTAATCAAACAAGGCCTCCCCTATGCATCAGTGCCTCTAAGAGATGTTACTTGGCACCCTTAATCGCACTTATTTCGATATTCAAGTTCAGATGTGATTACAGCTTTTTTTTTATTCTTGGTTGACATTAATAGCATAGAAAAACTGAGGAGCATGGACATAAACTTACATAGAAATGTATAAAACTATGTCACTTTGTTTTGTTATCTTGTTTTGTTGTTTATGCTGGTGAGGTGTTACCAATGAACCTTCTGTGCACACTACATTGCTTGCATGACATTATGTAAAGTAGTGCATATCATTTTAACCTTTATTTCCTGGCCTCTTCTATGTTTCCAAGGGATTAGTGTAAAAACAATAGAATGGCAGCAGCAAGGAGATCAGGGAGGCTCACTATCTTCGTGCGCTTTAACTCCAACACAAACATACCAGTCACCATTGATCCACAATGGACAGTTTTAAGGCTGAAACAAGAGATAGCTACCAATCAAGGAGTTGAGGCTTCAGAATTAAGAATAATTTTTGCTGGGCGAGAACTAAAAGATGACCTTCAACTGAAGGTATGCTTCACTGTTTACTCTGTCAATAACTCTTTTACTTGGAAGATTTGCCAGGGTTTTCAACAGCACAAATTGCATTCATGATTTTTATCACTTTATCAGTGGTCTAGATCAAACATCTGTCAAAATCGTGAGTTTTATTCCATGGAATGAGTAGTTGTTAATTGTTTTTCTCTTTATTTATGTGTTGAATCAACTTTAACTAGGATGCTGAGATACCTCACCAAAGTGTTATTCATGCTGTCCGAGGTGGCCGCTGGTCAGCCAGACCAAGTAGACCTGGCCAAGTAATGCCACTGGCCAGACTTAGACTTTCAACTGTTGGTGAGGATGAAGAGGAAGTAGCAAGTTCAACAGATGGAGGTATAGAGAAGTGTGAATCAAAACTGATGCTATGATATTTTTTGGGAGATGAAGTGAATTGATTTATGAAGAGAATGGTTTAAGAGTCTGGGTTAAAACAGAGGTTTTTGTGCAAGCCCTGGCCAGGTCATTGTGATATCTTCTTGGGTGGGCATTCCAATTCAGACAGGGCTTTCTCAACACAAGAGTAGAGATGAGGACTTAGAAACTTGCCAAATTGCTTAAGGGTAACCCCCCAGAGGAATTAGAAATATGATCAAAAGGTGTTAGTTTCTTAACCCTTTAACTCCCAGAAGTGATTAACATAAAAACTTCTCCCTATAATATCCATACACTATTTAGCAAACAGGTAATGAGAATATTTGAACTTATCAGGTAGAACCTGCTATCTTGATCTAGCACCAAGTTTTCATAACTAGTTTACAAGGAAATGTGTAGCAGCTAGAGGAGAGAATTAACAATCAGATCTTGGGAGTTAAAGGGTTTAGAAGCTGTGGTGCTGCTTTGAGGGGAGATAGTGCAAGATAATTTGGTTTTATCATCTGAGTGATAACATGAATTGGTTAAGGCAAAGAGTTTCTAAAGCTGTCGTTTTGAGTGCTAGCCCTTTGTCTTAGGAAATTCACTATTCATTCTGTCAATGTCTTTTTGGCGGCTGACTTATATTTATCAACTCAGTTGAAATAGTAATACTCCTAGTTGGCTGATGCTGGTTAAACTCCAACATTGTGGGTCACAGGTTTTGGGAACAGACTTAACCTTCCTTTTACAACATTATTGGCAACAAAGTTTTCGACAAAGCTCCATTTAAATGAAAACTTTATGAAATAGCCTCATCATTTTCAATTCCCCCTAATTTCCTGTTTCTTATCTTAAAGCATCTTCCAGGCGGCAGGCCCAGTATTTTGTTTACTGCAAGACTTGTAAACAGGTTACTGCTGGAAAGTTGAGGGTTTGTTGCTCACAATGCAAAGAAGGGGCAATTGTTCTTCAGCAGGTAAATTATTCTTAACATATCATCAATTATTAGTTGATTAGCTAAATCTGTCTTCGATAATAATAAAAATTAATATAAAGAAGTGGAATATGCAAAAGAAATATGCTTTAGAGAGGTTTTATGAAAACGAGGTTTGAATTGATTGATATTATACCCTTTCACAATTTTTCAGGGTGTTACTCTCTGAATGACAAACTGGGATAGGCTCGAGTGGTGTGCACATTCTCCATACTGTTTTTAAAATATTTCCAAAGGCACTGACAGGGAGAATTTGTTTAATAATCAAGACCTTCCTTAGTTTGTGATCATTTCCTTTATTCTCGTGACCTTTAAGTTTTACTTGGGGGCCATATTGTTAGGAGAAATTAGATGCTAGTCGCTCTCAGGGATCAAAGGGTTAACATCATGATGTTTGCTCTATATCTGTACTTGTCTTAATAGATTGCAGGTGTAAAGTAGTCACAGTGACTGTGTTCTTGAGATCAGTGTTTAAATATTAAAGGCCATAGTGAGTTCAATGCAGACATATGAGGGTGCTGTTAATTTTATGATTTACATCTTTGTTGTCCTTACAGGATCCAAGTAGTTGGGAAGATGTCTTGAAATCAGGAAGAATTAGAGGATCATGTAAAAAAGCAGGCTGTGATGGAAACATAGTGGTATAAGAAAGAGCTTTACTACTTTATCATGCTAACCCTTTAACTCCCAGAAGTGATTGACATAAAACTTCTCCCTACAATATTCATACATTCTTCAGCAAACAGGTAATGAGAATATTCAAACTTATCAGGTAGAAGCTGCTATCTTGATCTAACACCAAGTTCTTATAACTAATTTACAAGGAAATGTGTAGCAGCTACAGGGAAGAATTAACAATCAGATCTTGGGAGTTAAAGGGTTAAGATTGCATGGATTCTGATCATCACAATAATTACCGTTTGAAGAGTCAATCTACAATCCATGGGATCCTGCTGAGGCTTGAATTTTTCGGGCTCCTTTTTTGCAATCACTTAAGGTGTAGCTTACCTGGGAGTATCATGGCTTTATTTGATTTTCAATCCACCAGTGAAATGAAATTTAGTTCCTTACAAATTGTATCAGATAATTCTTAGTTGTATATGAGTGGTTGCCCCTGAAGTGAACGTTTAATACAAGAGGACAATACAAACAGTTATGACCCAGTAAAGGGGAACCACCATTGCTTGTTAGAGCTGACTGTTAAATAGAGGTGAAAAAATTTTGGAACTTTCATGAAAGACTGCTTAATACAGGTTCAAGTGTATCTAAGCAAATTGCATCTGAGCAAAAATAATTGATGGATTATGATTTGTTATTCTGCCGTTGTGTTTCTTGTTTCAAGGAGTTTTACTTTAAGTGTGCACAACATCCTGCTTCTGAGGGAGACAGATGTGTTGCACTACCTTTGATTCGAGCAAACACCAGAGAAATCCCTTGTTTGGCCTGTGCTGATGACAGGTAAATATACAAGCCATGTCATCAAGTGTATGATCACTGATATATAGTATAGTCAAGACTGACAAGGGCTATGGGTGTCTGACTCAGCTAATATGAGTTGTTTTCAAATGAGTATTGATCCCGGATTTCTTTCCGGATTACTTCGCTTTGTGATTGGTCTTGAAAACTTACGCCTCCATCTCGACCAATCAGATATAAAACTGTAACTAGTGCCAACCTGGGCACTCGTGTTTTCTCGCGCTTGAAGCAAGCTGTTTTTACTTTGAGTTCTCATTGGTTAATGGTGATGTCTACCTTTTTTTCTGATTGGCTGTTGTGGTTTCTTTGGTTTAAGTTCTCGCCACCCAGTTGAAAACTGCTCCAGTGTTTTCAAACGAAATATTGGTGAAAAGTCAACATCCCGTACCGAAAAATTTTGTGACGCCAAGCTTTTAGCAAACATTTTGTGTCGCGCTCTGAAAGATATTCGAAGGATGATAAGCATATAGTCGCCATTTGGCTCTCACATATTTTCATTAATTTGTCCTTGGACATATTGTGATCCTAGAAGCTCACTGTTTTTCTCGGAAAATTGTGAGGATCGAGGAACAGATTATGCCTGCAGACAAATGCCTGACCTCATTTTCACACCAAATGGAGGCGATTGTTCATTTATTCGTGAGTTCAATCGTGTTGCAGGGATCCTGTTTTGGTTTTTCCTTGTCCCGATGGACACGCTGTTTGTTTGGAGTGCTTTGCAATCTACTCCACAACAAAACTGAATGACAGGCAGTTTGTGCACAGCGACACATACGGATATACTCTGCCCTGCCCGGGAAGTTCAGGTGAGACCAAAATATGAATAAACTTCTGAAAATCAAAACTTTGATCGCTTGTCATTTGTAACCTGCCTAAGAGGTGAGGGGAGCATATACTTCTAGTCGTGGCTCCAACGTGGACTTTTCAATTTAGGTTCAAATGTGATTTTCACAATTAAAATGAAGAAAGAAATGGCAAGTAAAGCTAGAAAATGTTGCTAAACGTTGTTGGTTGAACGTAACTGTATAAACACAAGTTTCTTCGGGGCGTCTTGCAAGCAGGGGCTTAGCTCTGTTCGCAGGTTGTCTTCTGAAAGTTAAAAGAAAAGGCCTGGTATTTCTTGCTCAATCTCGTTCTTTTCAACACAACTGAACGTAACCAAACTCTCATTACATGAGTAAAGGGGGTAATTCTCTGAGGAAACTGTAGAGAAAAGGTATAACAACATAACTAGGTTTTATCAGAAGCTTATAACTTAGTTTTACCAGTTCAGCGACTGACGAAGGGCTTACGCTTACACAATACCAAATTAACTTATTAGGTGATTACATGATTAGGCTTTCGCTTTAAATAGGTCTTAAACAATGTCTTTACATACTTTTGCTTTTAAATCTCAAGGTTAGAGATCAATCTTTTTTGAACATTTTGCCGATTTCCTTCAGCACATCCAGAGTAAATTGTTGATATCTACTCTCGGCTTCAAGTTGTTGCTGTAGAATTCTTTTAAATAAGTCCTCCTCCCTTTTGCGACTGTCTTCCAAAAACTCCCGCAAAATGGCGATCATGCTAAGATCTTCCTGACGGCTCTGAGCTGTTTTAAGCGGCCTGGGATTCTTCCTCGGTTTTTTCCGGGGAAGGGTTTCGGCGATGGTAGGTCTCTTCAAGCCCCGAACAGTCATTTCTTCCGAGTAGCTCTCGTCCTCTGATGATTCATCTTCGCTCGCTAAGCCCTTCGGTGCATGCACAGGTTCCACGCTGACTGCCGTCGCTGGAGTAGGCTGAGAAGGAACTGTCGGGTACACTTGTATGGGGATGGAGTGTTTCCCTGCTTGGCTAGCCGCGATCGGAGCATTTAAGGGCGTGGGCGGTGGGGCTGGCTTGATAGGGCGCAAATGTCTACCTGTAAACGTGTCCGAAGGAATAGCACTGGGAATGGTCATTGTGGAAGAAGCAGTAACGACGGTTTGAGAAGCAACGATGCCATTAGCAACTGTATGTTCAGCTGGTATGTTGATGCGCACCACCTCTTCTTCGCGATAGAGATCACTTTTGTTGTTGAGAATCTCTTTTATTTGGTCGTGGTAGGGAAATGAATGAGGTAATTGGTCCTTTGTTCGTTTGTATTCCGCGAGCAGGTTCTTTATCCGCACCTTGCACTGATTCCCTGTTCTGGGCCCCAGCGAGCAATGAGCTACGCGCCTGTTGAACTCCTTCGCAATCATGTTCCATTCTTCGTAATTTCGTTTCTTTCCTTTGATGATTCGATAGTTTGCTCTCCAAAGGCTTAGCAGGGCCATGGTTTCGGGATCTGTCCAACGGGAAGAATTAATAGTTCCCAGGGCTTCTTCGCCATTTCCCTCCTGGCTCTTTACCTGTTGACCGGGAAGAATGATTTCTATTGTGGAAGTTTTTACCCCTTCCCCCACTGTCATCGTGTTTGTGTTAGAAACTGGAGCCATGGAAACCGCTGTAGGCTGCTGTGACATTGCTGACACGTGTGGTATCTGCTAGGAGTTAAAAGGGGGGTTAGTTTTCGCGCTATTTTTTTTTAAAAGCTTTATATACTCAGGCGCTCAGAAAGTGCCTGAGTGTGAAGTTCGAGTTTAGTCCTGTTTCAAATCTCCTTATGAGTTCTGAAGTGCATGCGTGAGTCCAAGGCTTCAAGAACTGGTCAAAAAGAACGAATAATAATAATAATAACAATAATAGTAGCAGTAATAGTAATAATAATAATTAGTAATAATAATTAAAGCGTGTCTGGACTCAAACATTACTAGTGCATGAGTTTACGTACATTTACGTTGTAAGCCAGAGAGCACAACACAAGCTGGGGATAATAACATTAACATTAATGATAATAGGAATAATAATGATTATAATAATAATAGTAATGATTATAAAAATAATAATAGTAGTAATAATAATAATTGTAATGATAATAATGCTAATTAAGGACATGTATTGTGCAAATGAACCTATGAATATGATCAAATGGGCATTACATACTAATCTAATGGCCTATAAACAAAAACATGTCAAAAGTAAAAAAAAACTAGTACCTCATTAAACTTTCAAAAATCTTTGCATGGATGTAAAAAAAAAAACTAATTTTGAAATGCGTTTCAAACTGAATTTCAATATGTCAAAAAATACAATACTAGTTAAACAAAAAGAAAAGTAAAAACAAAAAAATATCCTGATGAAATTGTTGCTGACTGGTTTCTCCGCAGCGTCAGGTCTTTCAACCATAAGGGGAACGGGAGGTAATATTACTTACGAGAATATTCAAGTGCTAATTATATCCAATCTTACGTCTTGAAATTGTAAAATCTACTTAAGTCATTTTACCAGAAATTATACCAGAATAAGAAGATTATTTGGGTAAATCTATGGTAAGCGTGAAAGATATTCGAGTACATACGAAACAAATGTTTCGAACCAAGCGACTCCTTTGAGAGATACCGACAGCTTAAGTGTATGTCTACAAAAGAACAACAATGGAGATTTTAGGCAACCGCCTCCTGTAGTAACACAAGTACTAATTCCTTGAAATGAAAGCACAGATTGAGAAACACACGAATGTGCTCTAGGATTGTGTTGGCGTTTGAAGGCTTGAAGAGAGCATATTGTGATGCCGTAGGGAATTGTAATTTGAAACAACTTGAATTTGATCGAAGCAGCTTCGAATATTTACGTCTCCTATATTTGACTTGCACTGTTTCTCTGTAATTTCACACGATACACATCCTTAACTGTCGGTTAATTTTCGACTTTTAAAGTAGAATCAAAGATTTATACACCTGAAATGAATTTCAACGTTAAAATAGCGAGCATAATGTTTAGACGATCAATGACTGTACAACCCGCTCGAGCCGAGATCGACGGGATGCTAACGATGGATTCGAACGTGTTTAGAATACTAAATCAATTTCCACAAGTCCTTCTTAAATCGCAAGTGAAATAAAGAGTACTTACAAATTGCTATACGAACTATTTTGAATACTTTGTGTGCTTCTAATGCCAGTATGAGTGTCCTGCCCGTGCTCGTTTGAGATCAATTCTTGAGATGCTCAAATCGAAACTCGAATCGAAACTCGCTAGTCTTAGAGCGCTTGATCAAGCAATCTTACCAATTTGGCTTTCCCACCACACTGAATCTTCTTTTAGAAAAAAATCTAAATTTTTCCTTCGATTTCTCGTAGTACTTTAAGCTCTCAATGTAAAAAGGTATGTCACTTGCTTGTTAGTCGTGTCTTTTCCCCTTTCTACCTCCTCCAGCAGAGAAATGGTTGAAGCTCTTCGGCTGGACTCGATTTAATTCAAGCCACCCCGATGTCAGATGTGTAAACAATGATCTTTTGTTCGAAATGTGACGTAAGCGAGATCCGAGATGTGATTCGATTGTTCGCTTGATTAATCAATCTTGCAATGCATCTCATACATTTTCTCTTTACAAGGAATTTAAGACGGCTTTTTATTATTTCAGAAAAGGGTTTATGATGGGATTTCAGATTTATGTCGCGGTTTATTTTACGCTGTTTGGCGCCTGATGTTTTTATGATATTTCGAAATTTGAAAAATGGGGAAAATCAGGGAGAAAGAAAAGTTTGAAATGTGTTTGTTGTTCGGGTTTTTTTCTAAATTTTATTTTGAAGGCATATACGTTTTACAACCCCTGTTACAGCATATTCGTAAAATGTTTTAATGGAGGATATCCAAGAGCGCTTTGTGTATATCTTTCTTTTTGTTGGGAGTATTTCCACATGCAAATCGCGCGCTTTCAGGAAAAATTCGCTAACTTTCAGTGGATAATTATTATAAATCTCTTACAGTCTTCATTTTATCGTCTCATATTAAGGATTTGTGGAGTTCTGAAAGAATAATTTGCGCGATTTATTGGTGTTGCAATTGTTGACTTTCAAAACGAATTTTCTGCGTTTGTTTTTGAGAAGGTTCACCTTACATTTTATTCCTTTTCTCCCACAGGTAGCTGTAACAGCGCACTAATTTCGGAGGCTCATCATTTCCGGGTGCTCGAGCCTGATCAGGTTAGTAGGTCCATTAAATCTGGAGCTGGATTCTCCGTATTTTATCGTGTAAGCCATTCCAATACACTGGTATCAAAATGTTAACCCAGTAACTCTTTAAAATTGTTGAAGACCGTGCGCCTTTTCGAAGCTGTAATTCTGTCGCCTGTGTAACTGCAGTTTTATGAGCGCTTTACTGATTTTTTAGCGCTAAGTGATGAGCGGCAAAGGCGCAAGCATCTCGCGGCAGCCAGCTACGAAGGCTACAGTTTTGCTATTCTGGAAGTGTGAAATTGAGAGTGTATGTGATACACAACGTATAATGTAGAATGCATGAATTTGTTCGTAGTACGACCGCTATCAGAGGTTTGGAACCGAGGAGTATGTATTGAAAGAGGGTGGTGTGCTATGTCCAGGGCGTGGCTGCGGAATGGGCCTTTTGCCAGCACCAGGCATGCGCTGTATCAGGTGTGATTATTGCCAGGTAACTAAATATGCACATGTGAAAATAACTCCACGAGTTGTAAGGCAAGGATCGATGCTCAGACGAAATTTCACCCGGTACAAACTCTTAGGGCGAAAACAACATGTATAATTACCTAGATGGTTACGCTGTCTTCACTGATGAAAAGCTGTTCTCTCACCACGATTTCTACAGAAGGGATAAATAACTCCCTTCCCCATCTCTCTTATCCTCTGCGGGAGGAATGTGAGCCCGTCACTGCTCATCCCACCTTGCGAAGCACCAATTCAGTTTCCTATCTGACAAGCAAGAGCCCCACGGGGGCGTGGGGTGGAAAGAAGCGAAACCAATTACGTCTGATGGAAGGGGTTTTTTTTTACCTTGTTAGTAGTCGTATCGTACTGGGCGGACCTGTCTTTCGCAAGCATGCCATACAGTTTCCTTTTGCTCTTTATTTCTAGTTTGAGTTCTGTAAAGAGTGCAAGGAGCCCTTTCAGCGAGGTCACTCGTGTAATCAGACGCAGTCAAATCCAACAACAAATGCCAGGGCTAGTGTAAGTATATATCGAATCCAAAACTTGTAACAGTCCACACCTCTTTTGGTAGGAACCAACGATTGTATAACCGTCTAACGTTTGCTGCATACTCCATGTATGTGCAATGAAAGTTTTTCACATAGAAAGGGACTGGAAAACAGTCGAGAACTATGAAGGGAGAGAAGAGAACTACTTACGAGATCTTGAGAGTTTCTGAAGGGTCAATAGGAATGAAAACACCTGAGCGTGCGGTTGTCTTGGACAGCAGTTTTGTCTGTTTTGCGCTTCCTCTTTGCCTCTCTGCTTTATTATGATGGATACTCTGAAGGATTGTGATTTAGTGTTTCACGAGTGAACCTTGAAAATTGTGTTGTGTGGTTTTGTTTATGTTCTTTAAGGCTTGTTAACTTTGATTATCAATGCTCAAATTTAACTTGGTCTCTTAAAAAGAGGTGTATAGAATCATATCGATCTCCTCCTTTTCAGAATTACCGAGTCAATTTAGAAAACGCGAGACGAGCGCGCTGGGAGGCTGAGGCGAGACAAGTGATTGAGCAGATCAGCAAGAAGTGCCCCGGATGTCAGACAAATACTGAGAAAAATGGTGAGTAAAGGGGAACTCTAATTGATGTGACTCTTCCCAACAGTTTAAACCTCAAAAATAACATTTTTGGTGGCTTACCTCACTGGAAGACCGAGCTGAAAAACGTGTTAACGTGTCACCAACTTTTGCGTGCTCACGTACGAAAACTTAAGCAACACTGTTGACTGCAGCAAAAGGGCAGAATTTTGTAAAAACTGAACAACGGCGAGGTTTTCTTCCCTTGATGTGAAGTTAAAAAGACTTTCGCTCCAGACGGTCCAGCAGCAGAGTATATGGCGTATTCTGAGCGCCACTTTCTAGAGTGCTAGTTGAAACTTTCCGCTGAAAAGTAGTTCAGTTGCCAAAATTCAGGAAAATACCTCGGTGTATTCATAGTATGTACAATCAATTCTGTGACCAAGGCAGACCAGAAGGTTTTTTTTTTGTTACCTTTTTTTGGATCTGGTCTTTCTCTCAACTGTTCGGGGAGGGGAGTGGACTCATTTCTCAAAAAGCGGCTGATAATTCGAACAAAAAGTGGTAATCGATTTGTATTTTTGTCTCATTTAAGGTGGATGTAATCATATGACGTGTTCTCGCTGCCACTTTGAATGGTGCTGGGTTTGTTTAATTCGTTGGAATCCCGATTGTCAGGGCACTCACTGGTTTAGGGTGTGACCGCCATGTCATCCAATCTCGTTAGGATGAGATGCTTGCATTACAAAGAATTTGCTAGTCTAGGAAAATCTTTGGAGATCTAGAGTAGAAGGAGAAATGAAAATTAGGTGTATTTTTTGCCAGTTATTTAACAGGTTAGAACTTCAATCGAAAAGTAGCAGTAGAATAAATGGGTAAGTTTTTTAGAAACTACTGTAGAAACGGAAAGGGAAACGTGTGTCGTCTGTCAGTGAAACGAACTGTGTGATGTTCGTTCACACTAGTTCAAATCGCATTATAATTAGTGCAGACTAAAGTTGAGGAATGCATTGGAATAGAAAAATTGTTTTAAGTAGTAAACTGCATGTAAGGTTTTAGAGTAACTTAAGATTTAGTTAAGATTCGCGAAGTGATTTGTAAGAGACCGTAATATGTTCCAAGTAGACACATTTGCGTGGCAACCGTATTAGAAGAAAGTTCCTTTATTCGATGCTTCAGTTAACAAAATTTGATACCGTTAACTTGCTTCATCTCAGCAGTGCTCATTGCTTAATTTTAAGATATCTTTAATCTTCCAAAACTTTCTACTGTAACGTGGATAGCTGTAAGCATACCAGGTAAAACTTGATATATAATGTCCTACTTCGTAACTGATGAACTTGTATCTAATTTTTTTTTGTTTTCAAATAAATCAATTATTTTAACAAAGCGTTCGTTTAGGACCAAAAAAGTTTTTTATCCCGCATTATGTAGCAGTTAAGCGTTACACTGCGTTGTGTGATTTCCTACACTGTACCAAACTTACTGTACTACTTTTGAAGTTCAAAAGTTTCCAGTGCATCAGTAGCATCCACGATGTTTAAAAAGAACTACTTTAAAAAGTCCAGGAAGAGGATAAGACCTTACTTAATTATGCTCAGCAACTTTTGCCGGAGCAACGTTTGGCGTTTGGAGCAGCCATTTGTAGTTCTAGCAACGTCGAACACATATCAAGCACCAAAAATTAAACTATTTCATCCATAACTTCAATATCTTCGAATTTATTGAACGTTTAACAATCTTTTGAACACATGACTAGTCACTCGACGACGTTTCACAGACCTTTTGCTTTCCGTTAGACTTGGGAGTAACCTTTAACTCTGTTCATATTTGTGAGCAACTTTAGCGCTAGGTTTCCGAAACTTAGCTTTTAAGAGTTGCTCTTTAGTAGAGCTATTTTTCTTGATTAATGTTAGAAATCATCGTAGAAAACGAAAAATAAATCTTTTAATTAACGTCAATGCAAAAATATCAAGAAATTTAGGTAGCAACCAGTGAAATTTACGTAGCCGCTTTCCGGATTTTTGAAATGTTTTAGCAACTCTTTGGTATAACAGTGAGGCGATTTCCGGCATTTTACGAGCACCGTCCCTTCAAGGGCTTCCGTTTTAGGTTGCATTTGACCCAAGGAGAATCAGTATTATAGGTAACCTTTATGTAGCCAATTTTTTTATGTAAGCGTTTACATGAAAATAGTATAGCTTGGCTGGCCCTCTACCAACACTACCCAGCCGTGAAACCTACGTCGAGATCCGAGTGACAACAAATCGTCCGCTTTGGTATTTGTCTCTCCATCCGACCGCAATCACTTTTGTTTGCTTTCTGCATTCGTAAATTTGAAATCTCCATCATTATTATTCACATCTATTGTCCATATCCACAGGATTTTTATCGGTGGAAATGGAAGAGGTTATCCTCGAGAGAAACAGCTTGCTTCTACGAATAAGCTTCGCTCCTCTTATACCTTTGTTGGGAAAGGGCTGTGGATTCAGCCGAAAACTTCGAAAGCATCAATATAACCTGGTTTTTCGGATACCCTCGGAAAAATATACAACTGTTGACGATTGTTACCAATTTATTCCCACGATTAGTTAGGCGGACAACTCTTTTAGTCGCCGGCGTACTAGCCGGAAGTTACCGAAGAACTTCCGGCGCATGTGTGTGATGCGGTCAGCAGCGTGCCGGTGAACTAGGCAACGGAATAACGAGGGAAAATTATTCCCGCTTGGATGAAATAGTAAACATCGAATTGTTTAACCAAATGTGATAGCGTCTACCACGATTCTGCAACCCGATCCTTTCAAGAATGCACGAGAAAACGGATATGTTTTGCCCTTTGTGCTACAGTAATTACGGGACTGGATTTCCTCAGAGAATTCCGAGAGAGCTCGATTGTAGACATACATTTTGTACAGGTGAATATTAAATGTTGTATGAATTGTGACTTGTCTTGGGTGAATATGGAATTCAGATTAGGCTTTCGCCCACAAAATTCAATTGAATGATCCTCCGTGTTCTAAAATCATCGTCTTTGCAGTGGAGTAGATATGACCGTTTTGGATGAAAATCAGTCAATCGCGGTGTAGCATAGTTATAATTGTTGTTGACGAGACTACTCCAGTAAACAAATTAAACAGAATAACGTTTTAAAGGGATTCGATTTTTGTACCCAAATAAAAAGTAAAGACCTCCATATGGTTGATCTTGCTCCGGTTTGGGCAAAGGGAAGTAAGAGAAGAAAATTAGCCTAAGTTTTGTGGTGTAGACTTGTAGTGTTTTTCCAATTTTCCATGGATACATGGGCACTTAAAATATTAACACACAGAAGTTGCTTGCGTTAATAATTTAACATTTCCTTAGCTATTTTGTGGTTTTGTAACTTTGTAGTTTTTTAGTTGAATTGTGAAAATTCACCCTGGATGTCAAGGAAATCTTTTCGTGCTCTCTCTTAAAAACACGTATTTTTTCGTGACTTTTACGCTTATGATATGCAAATGGTGTGTTCGGCTTTTGTCTCGAAAACCTACTCCAGCGTGCAGTGATTGTCAATGGTTTGATTAGTTAAGATCTGCATTGTTGAAATAAACCTATATTCCTTAAACCTATACAATTGCTGAAACTTATCAGATTGCGCAGGGTGATTTAGATTAAAGTTTTTTGACAAATCAGACATCATGCTGATCCAAGAAATTACCACTATACATCTTTCACTCAAATTTCTTTGCTTCTCTTCAGTTTTGTTCAATAATAAATTGTTCCATAACACGGTCCAATATCAATATACTATCACATTTCCTCAAATCACCAACCTAAAGAGTTTTAATTTATGGATTGGAAATTATTTGTGTTTGGCAACAACAGTACAGTACTTTGTGCTGTATACTGAACAAAAATCTGTTCTCTTAATGGCTGACTCAAGTCTATCATTGATGTCTCAATGTAAAGCCAGATTTTTACAGGTTTTTTACAGGTTCAATTTGAACTCCTCCTCCCCCTCAGGTAACTCACAGGCATTTGACTGTTGTCCATGCCCAGGGAGTTGGGTATTTGACACAAAAAGCCTTCTCAGGGTGGAGAATTTGAACCCTGTCAAGGTGGGGTGGGAAATCTGAGCCCAAAGAGTTTGAAATTTACAGAAGAGGTGATATTTCCTTTTTTTTTAATTTTGGACAGAGTGCCTTCTCAAGCTACAAGAACTTCAGGGCTCAGTCATAGAATGTTCTTCTTGTAAACTGCGCACCCTCTTACCTGCCAATGGTGTAGATGGACTTGGTAAAAACATGGATCTCTTAAGAGCAGTATTACAATCTGAGGAGGAGGAACAGAAATTGTGCAACTTTTGCATTCAGAAAGTTTACCCTCCTAAACCAGCGACATTTCATTGCTCAGATTGTGAAGTATTCATGTGTGGTAGTTGTTCTGACAACATCCACTCACAGTTGGAGTTCCGTTGCCATGACATTAATAGGGCAACTGGTGTTAAAGATGGTGTGGGGGATGATACAAGCACTTCTCGACCTTCATCAAGTCTTTCAACTTTAAGTCAACGCTCGTTAGGACTCAGACCAGGATTAAATAACAGACCATCAAGCTTGTTACTGAATTATTCAGCAATACCTGGTAACATATTTAGAAATTTGACAGTCAAATTTTATTACACCCAGAATGATATGTTATTTTGAGAAGTGAAATAGTTTGTTTATAATACAGCAGATTTTAATGAAATCTATTTACTTTCACTTATCAGTAAAAGCCAGGTAGAGCTCCAGAGGATCACCTCCCAATGGCAACTTGAAAGCATAGTTGTTTGAATTATCTGAAAATTGCAGTTGTTTGAGAGGTCTGAAAAATGGTTGACAGCACTGCATAGGGAATTTGAATGATGTTTCTTGGCGTCCTCAAATTTGGCGATTGTTGAAAAACTGAGTTCCCAGCTCCCTCTTCTGTGGCTTAGGATTGATTTGTTTCCTGGTGCCAAGGGATTTCTTCAGGTTTTTCTCCCATCCTCCCACACAGACAAACTCCAAATTACATGGGGATCTGGAATCAGTGGGGGATGATCAACCTCATGGATGTGCTGCTACAAATATCCAATTAATTTTGATTTATATTTTGGATACTTTAGAATGCCCCATTCACAAAGAGAAGACCAAGTACTACTGTCGAAATTGCAGATGTCTGTGCTGCGCATCCTGCCACAGATACGGCAGCCATAAAAACCACAGTTGTTTCCAGGTCCATGAGGCTGAAGAAAAGGAGAGAAAAGCACTTGTGAAATTACAAACACAAGTTGAACAGCGTGGTGCAAAAATTATAAAGGCTAGAGGAGAAGTACAACAAACTATTGAAGAAGTGAAGAAGAATACAATTGAAGTAAAGGACATAGCACGGAGATACTACAGAGAGCTACGTGCAGCCATTGATCAAGCAGAGACAATTTTGATGGAGGATATCAACAAGAGAAGTGATGTGAAGCTGAAAGCTTTAAATGAACAGCTCAGGTAAAATGTTGTAACAGTTTAAAGAAGTGTGCACCACTTAAAAATATGATTATAGCAGAGTTTTTTTTGTAGAGCACTGGTTGTAAAGCAGTTGGTTTTTTGGGGAATGGAAAGTGAGATGGATTTTAATTTCACTCCTGTCCCTCTTCTCTTTCTACTTCCTGTTCTGTTAGAAGCACAGTTTTTCATTAAGTTTTCTTCTTAGGATCTCATTTAATGTGTCACCAAAGATGTAAAACGAAGAACATTTACACCATCATACACTGAAAATGTCTGAAATTAATAATTATATATGTTATCCTATGTAGCTGCTTATTGGCTCCAGTTGCTGTGCTAACAACAGTTGTCATGGCTGTAATTACTAGTCTGGTATCCCTTTTGATAAACATATGAAACTTTGTTATTGTTGTTTTTTTTTAGTTTTTGATTTTATTCTTCTGGCACCCTAAGATTTCTTGCTGGAGGTTTGGGTGCCATTCAAGTGAAACTGAAATGTTAAGAAGTTTCTTTGGTTTTGCTTTTTATTACGCTTTTTGTTTGGTTCAGAAACTTGTGCCAGTTTCTTAACCAATCAAATGCACAACTTTGACCTGTTGCAAGTACTACATGTTTTAAGCTCTTTGAAGATATTCATTAATGAGTTCCTCTTTGGCTAAATACTTTCAGTCTTTTAAGGTATTCATTGTGATTAGTTTGTTGTTGTGCCAATTGAATGGCACAGTATACTGAGGGTTGGGTCAAAACTGTGAGCTCTATCTTTTTGTAGTCAAATGATTGAGATCTCAAGCCTGACGACCACTGCATGTAGAAACTGTGACAATGCTCTGAGTCTGGACTACTACGAAATGCTGATGCTAAAGAAAGACGTGGAAACAGAAATAATGAGTGTACTAGAAATGTTATGTGAGATAAACCCTGTGGCTGAAGCTGATCTGGGCTGTCAGTTTCCTAATCACGAAAAACTTTTGAGTAACATTCGAAGCTGTGCGAAGCTTGTTTTACGTAAGTATCTGGATTTTTAGTCCTTTTTCTGTAAATTAAGTTACTTTACTCGTAGAGCAATTATGTAATTAAGTTACTTTACTTATAGAGCAATTATGCATGAATGTCGAAAATAATTCGAGATTGCGTCTGTTTTGCCTAAAAGCAATTTTCAGTTGAGGGTAAAAAGTAATGCAGGAATGATTTGGTTTTACTTTACTTCGCTCTGCATTTGTTCTACTGGCGCCACTTTCTCAACCAATCAGATTCAAAACTAAAACCAATCGCGTTGAAATCGCGACTTGGTCACTCGCGTTTTCCCGCGCTTCAGGCAGTTTGATTATTTTAACTTTGGATTCTAATTGGCTCCTTGCAATATTTTCAATTATTTTAAATATTCTTTGTTCTGATTGGCTGTTGTGGCCATTTTGGTTTCATTTTCGACGCTCAATCGAAATACACACTGTTTTTGCAACACTTATTGACTGGTTTAGAAAACTCGCGCCACCCTATCACCACCCTCTGTTAACTGAGCTCATTATGGCTGGTTTCCGAAGTGATCTGATGTTCGCGAATCTAAGGAAAAAATTGAAGCCACCTAAACTATTAGATTAAAAGATATCTTCTCGCGTTTGTCAGCCATCTTAAGTTCCACTAGTTCGTAACTTGCCGTGCTCGGCACTGGAAGTTTTCAGTGTTAACGCTCTTTGGTCGACCGGGTGGAATCAGGGTCCTTCCAAATCCTAGACGTCTCTCTGATCATAAAAAAAAGATGAAAGACGAAAATGAATAATTGTAGATGGAAAGAAAATTGAAAGCAACTGGTGCGCAAAGGAGGAAGGGAATGTGACAACTTTACTTCTTTCTTGTCCCCATCGCCTGTCGCTTTTTGCGCTCGTCACCAGTCGCTCAACGGTACGATCACCAAAAGTTTCAAGGGACACTGGGTTGAATTACAAGTGCTTGGCGTATCCCCGAACTCCTACGATGGATTGAGTTATATCTATTTCTTTACTGGTCGTCGTGAGCGGTTCATTCTTACAAAGTTTACAAAGAAAAAACCTTTTGGTCTTATCATTTGTGAACCAACCATTTCATTTTACATTTCATTTCCCATTACGCAGCTCCGGGGCCTCCAGAGAAGCTGACGTGTAAAATAACAGACAATTACAACGTGCATGTGAAATGGGATCCGCCAGAAGATAACTTGTTCCTGTATCCAGTACTTTGTTATATTCTGCAAAGCAGCTCAGGTAAGACTGAAGGAGGAAAGATTTGTAATTTGTCATCACTGTTAGAGTGGATTTTGGTTGAGAAAGAAACGTTTCGAGCGTTAGTCCTTTGTTAGAGCGAATGGCGAAGGCTAACGCTTGAGGCATCAGCTTTAGAAACTCTCGGTGGCCAATTTGCATCATCAATTCAGTGAACAAAACCAAACTATTGTGCGGTAGAGTTATTATTTGAAAGTGTTTGCTAAATCGTGTTGTCTTTTCTTTTAGGTCCTGATAATAGTTTTGTAACTATATACAAAGGGAAGGAGTCCTCCCTCACAATAGACAAGATTGCAGCTAATTTAGCCGTCGGTAAACAAGTGCAGTTTCGCGCATGTGCTCTAAACCTGATTGGGCAGGGGCCTTGGGGGTTCCCTTACGGGATCAAAATACCCGAGTGAATGATGACGTCACTCCTCAGTAACTGCCTTTTACTTAAGTCGGCGACACTATGAAGGAGTTCTAGGAGATTTCTTCGACCATTCCTGTGCGTAAATAAGCAATTTTGTCGCTTAGATAAAAGAATATTCATCATCACTTTCAGAAAATCTAAACACTCAAACTCCACGTCCTTTTCACTAATGGCGTGCTTCTTCGCTCGTCCTCATCTCTCTTCCGGCGAAGGCCAATGAGAGAATACTGGGGACCGCCAGTAAGGTCTTCCTTTACCGTGTGCTGTGCACCGCGGAATTTTGCTCCGACAAAATAAAGGAACACCTGATCGTGTGTTGTGAGATTTATTATTAGTGTACTTAAAATTATTTAGATCAGCACAAATTTGCTGTCGCATGAATCAATACGGAGAGGATATGAGGAATCAGTGTTCATACATAGCCAACGAGAGTTTAAAGATTAAAATCAGAAGTCTATCATATTTTCGTTTCCCTGATTTTGAACTTCATTTTCCAAATTTATTTGGAAAAATGAAACGAAGTAAGAAAGACTCTTAGATCGGAAATATTGAAATATTTATTTTTAACGTGGTTAAGCATGATATGAAGGTCACGGAAATTAACTTGTAAATGTTAATGATTTTTTGTAATGTTTCAAAGAGATGGGACCAACAAAAAATGGTTTTCACCGTACGTTTGCTTTTCTCATAACAAAATGAACATCTCTCCTGTGTCAAAGTGCAGTGAAATAAGCTGCATGAAATAGTCATTAGGAAAAAGGGAACATACAGAAATGTTATCTGTTGTAAGCTTTCAGTCAATGAAACGAAGCGCGATAGTAAACGCGCCTCTGAACTCCACCGCTACTACCGCCCAAGAAAAAGAACATGTCGGTCACTAATTCAGTTTTATCCTGTATGGCTACTTCATTTTCCTTAGTGGAAAACTGAATTTTTGCGGATCATTCTATCAGTTGAAAATAGGTTTCAATCGGAATATCTTAGGTGTGAGCAACATAAGGTTGCTGCAGAGTTTGTTAATAGTTTCCATGATTCCTCTTTTTAGCGATAAAAAGAGAAAATTAAATAAATGGAAAATCCACAGAGCGGTGCGTACCATGAAGTTTACTTGGTGTATGCATGATTGTAGCGTCCTGCGGAATTCTCTCCCATGATAGATTAGAACCTAGGCCTTTACCGCCATGTTACATCATCCGCCGCCATCTTGTAAATGGATTTGTGAAGGAAAAAAACCTCCAGAAAAATCAGTTTACGCTATAGACTGAAGTGTATAATTACATAGTGATGGCTGCAGACAATGTATCATCTCAGACGACAACTGGACAGCCTCATTTGGCGAAGCAAGATCTAACAAAATTGGTAAAGATAGTGTTTCGTCTCTTGTAGACAATCACGTGTAGTGTTACATATTCTGTTTGATAAAAGGTTGATAGTTTTGAGTTACGTTTGTTCATATTTTTCTTTACTTTATTAGGATGTATCTGAGCTAAATCCTCTCACTCCCGAAGTTATCAGTCGTCAAGCAACGATCAACATCGGTAAGACATCAATATACACTACGTAAAATATTTATATTTGTTAAATAGCGCCTATTTTATGATCAGAAACCAGAAAAAAAGGAAGTTACATGGTGTTTTCTTGGTATTTAGAAAACTTTGCTGTGTATTGCATCAGAATTACTTTCTCCATAAGGTTTTACATTTTTAATTTTTTTTTGTAGGAACTATCGGCCATGTGGCTCACGGGAAATCAACAGTTGTTAAAGCATTATCCGGAGTACAGGTGATTTTCTTTTTCGTTATCGTACTTGTGTGATTATTCTAAAACAATTGAAGTTTTCTGCTGGTGTGGGTATTACTTGCATGTGGCTGACTTTGCAAGTAACTTTTGAACCATGTAACTGAAGATCATCTGTCAGAGTGCACACTGATCAGAAAAAAGATTGGCCAGCAGTAAGACTCGTATGTTAACTGCATTGAGGCTCATAAGTACTCCCTCGAGAGCTCTGACACCAACTTGTAATAAAAAAGTTGTTGACACCCCTGTTAGCTAACTGATAACAGTTATACACCTTTCAACTCTTCTGCCCTGAGCATGATTACATGATGCTAAAACCTGCTGAGTTACAACACCAACCTCTTGTCAGCTCATTGCCCTGCCAACTGGCTTCTTGTACTCAGTAGAAAAATCAAGCCATTGTATTTTTAACAACTATTATGATTTAACTAAGTATTTATTCTTTTTCAGACTGTGAGGTTTAAAAATGAACTTGAGAGGAATATTACAATCAAGCTAGGATATGCTAATGCAAAGGTAAGCTGGTAACATTTTGTTCAGATTTCTTGGGTTTGATGTTACTGCTGCTTCTTTGAATGCAGCAGTTACCTCAATATATTGTGTTATTCACAGATCTACAAGTGTGAGAGCATTTCATGTCCAAGGCCTGGTTGCTACCGTTCATCTGGCAGTGCAAGAGAAGATGTATTCCCTTGTGACAGAATGGGATGTAATGGGAAATTTAGATTAGTTAGGTGAGAGTTTAAGTTTAATGGGAGTAAGTAATTGCACTTTATACTGAAATTAATGGTGATATCATTGCTTAGAAAACATGGAAGATATTCAGGAGACTCCAAACTCATGATTAGTAGATCTTTAACAGTCAATTGATTTTCTCTCTTAAGCACTTGTTACTTGATGTAGCTGGATGACACACAATATTTTTACTTGGACCTTCAGCTTTGGAATTCTCCCTCTTGTGAGCAATATTATCAGCCTTAACTTACTTTGTGGGTGTGGCAGACATGGTGCACAGCGATCAGCATGTAGGACACTGACCCACAAAGTACCTCTATCCATTCAGGAGAAAAAATAGCACTGCTCTCGGTTTCTTCATGCTATAAACAGAGATCTAAGCTCAAATTATCTTCAAGTCACTTTTTTGGCAACCTAAAGCCATCAAGAAAATAACTGAAAAAAAGAGGGATGTAAAGAAAACGGCATTTTTTTTCATTAAAATTTATATTTTATAGTGTCTGCCTCATGCAGATCTAAACAACACTTGTGGTTCCATTTTTTTTTTCAGACATGTGTCATTTGTTGATTGTCCTGGCCACGATATTCTTATGGCCACAATGTTGAATGGCGCAGCTGTCATGGATGCTGCTCTTTTACTTATAGGTTGGTTTTCAATTTTGTTTGTTCTTTATTGATTTCTTGACACTGTTCGGAGAATCATTTACAAAATAAAATGTTTCTACCTGCGGAGACAAGATTGCCTCCAAACAAATTAATGACAGGAATTATAACTTCATCCAGGTAACAGTTTGAACAGTTGGATAAAATCAATGGGAAGGTTATGTGAGGATATGAGTGACAGTAGTGCTTTCAAATCGACTTATGGTGGATCAGTGAAATATGAGATTTTGAATTTCATTGCTCAAAAGTTCTCCAAGTTTCAAAATTAAGTGTTATCATATCATGTAGATGTTCTTAGCATCTAATGTGACATCTATAATTTCGTCATTGTTTCATTTAAGTTAATGTTGAATATTCTTTGTTTCTTTCATCCAAGCTGGAAATGAATCTTGTCCTCAGCCCCAGACTTCAGAACATCTGGCAGCCATTGAAATAATGAAGCTTAAGCATATAATAATCCTTCAGAACAAGATAGATCTTGTCAAGGAGAGCCAAGCTAAGGAACAGTATGAACAGATTCTCCAGTTTGTTCAAGGTGAGAATACATGGTTGATAAAAACTGTTATCTTTATTACAGTGAGGAACCAGGCAGGCTCTTCGTTTTGCATCAATGCTTTGAGAATTTAGTACTAAATCTTGATGGCCCGAGACATGGTAGAGCTCGGCAAACTCAAACTCTGTTAACTTCAACTCCCTGCTTACTAGAACAAAATACAATTTACTATCGTCTTAACCAAACTCAGTTAATTCCAACTCCTTGCTAACTCAAACTAATTTTAATTTCACTTGGCTCAGATTTACCTTGGTAACTGGAAACTTTGTGTAAAAGTGTTGGTTGTTAACATCAAAGAGTCAGAACATGGCTGATTACATTGCAACCTTTGATTGAAGATAGGCAAACTTCCCAAACTAACTGTTCAAATAAAAAAGCTGTTATAAAACAAACTTAATGTATGAAAATGATGATTCATTGTGCAAGAATGGTAAAAACATGATTGCTCATTATTTACAGTAACAAATTTAAATTCAACACCTATCCTAATAACTCAAACCACTGCTGACATACCCCTTAGGAGTTCAAGTTATCAGGGTTGTACTGAAACAAGGCATTGCTGGATACTAACATGTACATCTTCTTTATTTTGTTTTTTAGGAACAATAGCAGAAGGAGCCCCAGTGGTTCCAATTTCAGCACAGCTCAAGTACAACATTGAAGTCATTTGTGAATACATCTGTAAGAAGATTCCAGTACCTGTCAGAGATTTCACGTCCAGTGCTAAACTCATAGGTATGCAGTGGTGTTTAGTAAAAGAGTTCTGTTGATAGAAATGCAATGATTGGTGATTACATACTAGAAAATCATGTCTTTTCCATGATATTTCTTATAAAATGTTGTCATTACTAGAATTTTTTTTGTTCTGTTGTTTAGTTATCAGATCTTTTGATGTAAACAAACCAGGCTGCGAAGTGGAGGAACTCAAAGGTGGTGTAGCAGGGGGCAGCATACTGTGTGGAGTTCTTAGAGTGAGTACATGATGGAAACTTTTTCCATCTTCTTAAGGTATTGTTGTTTATCAGATAGACTGTCCAAAATGCTTACAAACCTTTTTTCATTTCTTCATATATTTTCCCTTTATCATAGGACATTAGCATCAGTGATAATCAACTGGTCAACTGATCAGTAAACTTTGACAAATTTTTATCAGTCTAGTACATGGGTGATCAAACAACCTTTTGAAGTTTTTTGTTCTTTTTTGAGTATACCAAGATCAAAATGATTGGATGCAATCCAGGAAAGCTGGTGAAGAAGACACTTGCAGCATGAATGTGAAGTTTTTGATTTTCTGTTTATTTGTAGGTGAGCCAAGAAATAGAAGTGAGGCCAGGTATTGTTTCAAAGGACAGTGAGGGGAAACTGCAGTGCCGTGCCATTTTCTCTCGCATTGTGTCTTTGTTTGCTGAGCAGAATGACCTTCAGTTTGCAGTGCCGGGAGGCCTTATTGGTAGGATAATTCAGATGTGTAAACTGCTTCCAACTCATGACCAGTCATAAATTTTGGAAACTGTTTGTTCAACTTGTAAATCTTTTATTAGGTGTTGGCACAAAGATTGACCCGACATTATGCCGAGCAGACAGGATGGTAGGACAGGTGTGTATCAGATTTGTGATATAGTTAAGAATGTGGTTACAGACCAAGTAATCTTGTTTGAGGCATCACTTTTTTGGTCTATAGTCTACACTATACAACCAATATTTTAAAAATACATCACTGAATTTAAATATTTTACTTAAAGAATGTTTCCAAGGCTTTAAGAAGAAATTGATTTTCATGCCCTTGGGTTTAAAAGGGATCCTATTTTGATAACTGTTTGTTGTCGAGCCAGGTTTTGGGTGCTGTTGGGACACTTCCTGAGATTTACACAGAGCTTGAAATCAACTACTTCCTGTTGAGAAGACTGCTGGGAGTGAGGACTGAAGGCGACAAGAAGGGAGCTAAGGTATTGCACAGGGAATTACAACTCGAATGTTAAATCATAAATTTCTCAATTTATGTTTTGATTAACTGGACAACATCACGAACATACTCCACTTCCTCATACAATTTCCATTTGAATGGAAGTTTTAACATATAGGAAGCCTGTTCCAGGCGTTCAGTTAATAAAATGGAGCGAAATAGTAAACTGGGTGATAGTAATGTCAGAACGAAAAACCAGAGAGGTTTGGGTCCGGTTGAGTTGAGTTGAATTACGCGCCCCGACCCAAGCCTCCCTCGGTTTTTCACTCCTCCGCCACTATTGAGCTTCGTTTTGCTTACTAAACGCCCGGAACAGGTTAACAGACTATATGTGTGTAGTTATTCATGTTATTAGAACTCAATTAGAGTTTAAAAAATTATCTGACCTGTGGGATTCTGATTACGTAATTACGTGGTTGTGAGTGTTGTTTATTGGAGCTTTGTTTTCTGCAGGTACAAAAGTTGACTAAGAATGAAGTGTTGATGGTGAACATTGGTTCGCTGTCCACTGGAGGTCGTGTGTTGGCAGTCAAAGCAGATTTGGCCAAAATAGTTCTGACTCAACCCGTTTGCACTGAGATCGGAGAGAAGATTGCGCTTAGCAGAAGAGTTGAAAAACATTGGAGGTTTGTTTATTTTTATCATTCAAATACGCTTACAATGTGTGTTCCTTGCATGTCTACTGCCGTTGCCGTTTTATAAACCAGAAAGTTTACACCTAAGGCGACCACTTTTTTCCCTTCACTCTAATTACTGTTACAATCGAAGCACATTTAGTCGAGTGTTGAAAGTAACTCGGGATTGCAATGAATACTTTGCTTTGTGATTGCTTTACAAAACTTCTGCCACCTTCTCTACCAATCAGATGCAAGACTAGAACTATTCGCGACCCTGGTTTTCCCGCGTTTTAGGCTGTTTAAGTTTGAGTTCTCATTCGCTTAATGTCTTGCTGTCATTGTTCTGATTGGTCGGTGTGGTTCCTTTGAATTTGGTCTCATGACCCTCAGTCGAAACGCGCTTTCCGTGGCTCTGGTCCAAAATTTATTCCAAACGAGCAGGAAGGAATGTGATGAAAATTTAGAGACGGGCGGTCAGATACAAGTTTGCAATCTTGCAACTTGATGGTGAAAGTCTCTTTTTCTGATTTCCTGGCTCAGTAGATCCCAGTCCCATACCCTTAAGTTAAAGGCAAGAAAGACAGAATTTCCCTGAAATGGCTGTAAAAAGTGGTACCTAAATCAGCCTGCTAGGATAATAAGTGAAATAATATGATGCAATTATCTCTAAGAGATGCGACTAAATTTTATTTTATTTTATTTTTTAAGCGGGGGGAGTTATCAGCAGCCTTGCAGACGTTATCTGTTGTATTTGAATTCGATTTTACCTCACAGCGCCTAAACAAGCTTCACAGCCTCTAATCTAATATCTTTAATTGTTTTTTTGTTTATGTTTTAGTCGAGGTCTAAGTAATCTTTCAAGCTAACTAAATAGTCCAGCACTTGAGGAAAAACTTTGACTCGTGAAACTTCTGTTCTACATTTCAGATTAATTGGATGGGGCCAAATCAGACGCGGAGTTACCATCAAACCAGAATCATAGGATAATGCAGCAGACATTTTGTAGTTTAAGAGAATCGAGTTCAACAAGGAAAGCTTCTGTCAAGAACGTGTTCTGCGGGTGCACTGTGGTCTACTCAGTGAATGTTTTATCTTCGTGTTTATCGATCTTTATGAAAAGAGTCCTGATTTGAAGATTTCTTCTATCTAACGTGTGATCTTTCTTGTACAGAAAATACTAGAAGCTTACAATGTTTATGAAATCATGATCTGAATTGTGTGGTTTAAGTGAGATTTGGGAGTCGTTGGTCTTCTTTTGCTTTGTCACGCGTACTTCTCCGTTCTTGGGGGCGTCACGCAACACTCTCCATTGACGAAAAAAGCATCGTGACGTCCTGGGTACTTGGAGTGTTGTGTAACAAAGAGATAGGGATGCGCAAACTTAGATAACGGCAGCTTAGGAAACCAACGATTCAAAATGTTATAGTTATCGAAATCCTTAGTTAAGGTTATCAGACCTGGTATATCGTAATAAACATGACAATCTATTCTAAATATTTCAATTTCTTTTTTACTGAGACTCATGGGGGGTTTGAACAAATGAAATGTCACTAGATAGGTTCAGTCAAGGGAAAAATACTTTAGTGAGTGGTGCTTTCGAGCTAAGTGGCCATCACTTCCTCACCCTATTCCAGTTTCCATGACAGTCAACGATCAGGAGAACTGCTCCTCCCCACCGGATTGAATGCTAGTCAGTGGTATGTGAACCTTAATCGTTTCGTCAGGTTTTTTTTTTTGACAGTTTACCGGAGCCCTTTTGTACCTCTTTGTTCAGAGAGGAACTCCTAGTCAGCCATTATTTTTTTTGCTTCAACTGATATATTGGCGCATCATTTTGCAGTCGTTAAAATCAATTAAAAGCTTCCCTGTATTACGTGGTTTATCTCTGAGTTGGTCCTTAGTCTACTCTCGATCTGCTTAGGTGCGAGCCACGGAATGCGGAATCGAATGCGGATCGAAGGCAAAATTCGATGCCTGCAGGCATATAAAATTTTTCAAGACTTGAATGATGTACCGTTTCGCCTCGGCCCAGAGATTCATCAGAAACCTTTCTTGATTTTCTTGGCTCTTCTTATCCTTTTAAGCTTTCACGATAAATATCTCTAACCAATTGAGTTCGAGGTCTCTACTTTAAGTTACAGACCGAGTTTTTCCGCTCGGATTTATTGGCCGCGCGCTTCGAGCTTGGGTCATAAATTCTAGCGGAAAAAACTGGGCTCCGTAAGTTAGGGTTCGGACCAATAGGCCGGGGTTAGTAAGATTTTATTATAACAGAAGGAGAATATTTTAATTCAAACAAACTTTTGGATTTAGCGGGTAGTACGGGATATTTACCAATTGTAGAGCGCGCACTAACTGAGAGGTAGAATGCAATAAATCATTGTTTTAAATTGCGTGCAGAATGTGCGGCATGTCTTAAACCGAAGAAAAGGGGAAAAAGAACAAATATACGTCTGTTGTTTCTAGATCTGAATAGACCTTCCGACTAAAACAGTATACAGCGCTTTTCGACTGAGTGTCGTAAAACCTAAAACCAAATAAATAACAAAAGCTGATCACAAGAAAGGAAAATACCTTTCAAAGTTAAAAAGCCAATGAGCATTTACAGTAAAGGTAACCAAACTGGCTAAAGCGTGGGAAAAGACGGTTGACCAAGTCGAGGTTGGTTTTAGTTTTGCATCTGGTTAGTTAAGAAAATGGCGCGACTTTTCTGGACCAATCGCAGAACGAGGCAAGACAAAACCAAAGCAAGTTGAACCCCGAATTACTTTCGACATCAAATTGAATATTGTTCCATGATGGCTTAATATTTCGTCTTTCATGAAGTTGTTCTTATCACAGAAGATACTGACTGATGAGGGTTCTGTGAATATTTCAACTATCCTGAATTTTTTCTTTATATCTATGGAATAGATGGCAATACCGAATCGGCTCCCAGTAAAAATTTTTTCCCTCCGTTACGTGACAAGCATCGTAATTACTTAGGCCAAGGTTCCACCGAGCGGAAAACTTACTGATCTGTGAACGAATACTCCTGTTTATATCGTATTTACTGATAGGCATGGGTAGGGGTCCTCCATTGACCAATCACAGATCAGATTCAATCAATATTTTTCATTTCCAAATGGCTCTTTGGAAAAGATGCAACGAGTATGCGCCACGTAATGTGTTCGGTCATAGAACGACTGGACCCTGGACTTCTGATCCGCCCTGGAGAGGAGAGGTCTGGGTTCTAACCTTAGACGGATCATTGTGTCGTGTTTTCAGGCTAGACATTTTAACTCTAAGAGTTCCTTTTTGAACAAAGGGGTACAAAAGAGTTCCGGTAGCACAGAACTTTGTTCCAAGTTTGATATCGAGGCTGTCTATAAATATGTTTCCTGATTTACTGCAAGGTCAAGTTCAGTTTGTACTGATATAACTTCACCAACCATTAGCGGAACGATAAAGCTATTTCAGTGTCTCGTGACACTCAGGAAGATACACTCGAGGCTGTGCAAAGTCTAATGCCTTCAGAACTGCCTCTATACTGGTTAGCTGTTGATAGTTGCTCTTATTAGCGAGTTTCATGCCGTCTCAAGAAATGTTGTGAATCTGCTGAAAATTCATCATGTTTTCGTTTTTCCATAAGTCTAGGCAGCAAAGCTTTTCACTGCTTTGCCTCTGCTTTTAGTATCTATACATTTTTTGGTAGCGGTAGAAACAACGCTTTCCTTATCTCCGAAAACTCTCGAAACTATAATCTTCCCCGTTACAAGTTGCCGCAAATATTGCCGTGCGTTTGTTCGGCCTGTTGTGTAATATTTCGTGCATAACTCGCAGTCTATGTATTATTCAATCTTTTCACCAGATCAAGTCGGCCTGGGTCAAAACTGTATTTATACCTCAATTGTTCCTTTATCACAAGCCAATCACATTTAACGACTAGGAAGGATTTGACGCGTGAGGTCGATTTCAAAGACTGCCTGACGCCAGCTAAGGAAACAATAACAAAGGGAGCCAAAGGAAATAGATTGGAAACCTATCATGTCGTGCGCAAGCGCATGGAAATGTAATACGTGTCAACTTCCCATAAAAGGGCACAAGACACCTACGCACGGTATCATTTCATCATAATCCGGTGCCCTCTTCATGACCAGCACGTGGACATCACATGCAAATAAATTGCAAGACTCACTCGCTTGAACGCGATTCGTCCTAACTCGTAAACCATGTCAATTTCTGGTTTTATTATGCATTGTAATTTAAAACCCAGTGAAACCGCAGGAAATCGTGTTTTCATTTTGTAACGGGTACACATTTCTCTCAGAATGTTCGCGTCTCCGTAAATACTAGAACTACCGAAGCACTGTGCTTTATTTCGCTCTGTGTTGATTTGCGCTTGATTATATAAATCATGCGTTGTTTAGATTTCATAGGTTTCTAATCTACAAAGTAATAAATGTTGTTTAAGGCAACCTCTCATCCTGAGAAATTTTAATGAATCTGTTTGAATTGCATGTCTTGGGTAAGGGCAACCATTGCTCTAAAAACCTTCTATTCTTGCCGATTGGCAATGAGTGAGAGGACTATTTGAGCATATCAGGTTGGAAAAACCGAAATTGAAATGTCATTACTTTTTCACTGGCTTCAGTCCAAAGATTGATTTCATTCACGCCACAAAGCTGAGTTATAAAAGCGTGCGCTTTACTTCGGCGATGCTTAAGGCGTGACTGCACTACGTGGTGATTGGATGATATAATTGTGCACCAACTGTCAATCATCGAAACACAAGCTTTGGATTGGCTGAATCTGACGTTTTTCCCTCATATGCCAATCTTTCCTCATCCCACGCCTTCATATTCTCCAACGGAAAACGATCAGTGCAGTGTAGGGGGACCTCGGGCCGGCTGGGCTGTTTGTGCTAAAGTCACCGAAGGGGGAGTATAAAAACAACACAAAATGGCGATACCCCCAGCCCACGATTCTACGGACGTAGGAGTTCGGCTAAGCACTGTAGGTTCAGTGTAAACAATTTAAACTAAAAATTCTCCATTTCGCTTATAAGGTGCATTATTTCCACAGCTCAGTCCCAAATATTTACACACGAATTCGACAAGTCACACATGGCCGTTCAGTGCTATCGCCGAACTCATCGGTAAGTTTTGCATTTCGTGTCGCGACGATGAGTGAGCTCGAAGGATTTTCAGTTGTTCTATTTTTTATACCGTTTTTTCGTAGATAATGCTTACGATCCTGATGTGAATGCAAGGCAGCTGTGGATAGACGTTAAAAGATACAACAAGTACAACTACTGTTTTGTGTTTACGGACAACGGGGCCGGTATGGGTCCTGAGAAACTACATAAAATGCTTAGGTACGAATTATTTTTTCGGACGAAGCGCCACTTTTACGGCCTACGGCCTATTGACTTGCTATAAGGCTGCTGAATACTCATAAGTACGTTTTGTTTATTTTGCAGCTTTGGATTTTGCGACAAGGTAAGGTTTTGCGGTGCGATCCAGATCCACGTTGCATGATGCGTTACGAATTTATTCATTTGCCTGAAACTGCGTATGCAATTTGACGTAAATTAGAATTCTCAGATGTTTTGTTTTGTTGTGATTCTATTTGTTAGGTAGCGAAAAACGGGCATATGCCCGTTGGACACTATGGCAATGGTTTCAAATCGGGATCCATGCGATTAGGAAGAGACGCCATCGTGTTTACGAAAAACGGGGGTACTAAGAGCGTTGGGTTTCTTTCTCAAACTTACTTGGAAGCCATTAAAGCTGAAACCATTCTTGTGCCGATGGTTACCTGGGATTCTGATGGAAATATCCTTTAAAAAAATGAAGTTTTTCTATGTAAAAACCGACCGCAGTGGCCGGTCATAAGATCTTCTTTACTTCCGCCATGTTTACGGTTCGCGCCAAACTCGAATTTGGCGCCGTAAATTAAAGACAGTCTCAAGCAGACACGTTGTTCGAGTGGCTGAAAAGTGTGATAAATTGTATGATTTGGTTTCTTTTATTTACCATACCTTTTGAAACTTTCCCCTGGAAGTTACGCGTTTGTGTTGCAAGTTCTCTTCTCTTCTCTGTGTAGGACTTACTCACATAGAAATTGTCAAAATTCAAATAGTTTGTGAGAAGTGTCATCAAGATGAGATTTGTTGAAGAGCACAGTTTTTGATGATGTTGGAAAACAATTAGAATTAAACCATCTAATTTAAAATTGATTTTAATTAACTATTGGAAATATAATTTGGGTCCTTCTTCTGATACTAGAAAATAAAACAATTGACACTCTTTATTCTAAAACTGTAAAGAAGAGAATTTGAACCATCCACTCAGGGAAAATGAAATGTATTCAGCACTGGCATTAAGAATTTTCAACAATAATTTGAGAATAGCAAAATGATTACTGTTGAATAATTCCTAAGATGCAGGGATGACAATTATTAAACTATTTGCAAAGCCTATGTAATTGTTTAAGTATGACTGTGTGAGCTATTTTATTGAAAATAAGTTCTTTTGTTTTGTATTCACCTTTAATGGACTAATGATGGCAAGATTTGACCTAACGCTCAGACAATAAGAAGGCCCACACCTCAATAATATCTTATAATCTCCTTGGAAATTATTCTTAACTTTCTTCTGACCATTTGGCATGGAAATTCCTGAAGGGCTTGTGTTTGTTGTTATTGATACATTTATGACTGGAGGGCTTAATCAGTGGAGATAATAAATTGATTATTTTGGCTACAATAGTTGAGTTCCTTAACATTTCCTAAAAATTGTCCAGAAATTTGACAAAGACAAGGCATTACAGGATATCCTAACACATTCGATGTTTAAACACAAAGAGGAACTTTTTGCTGAGTTTGCTGGAATTCAAAATCCCAGTGGTACACGTATTATTATCTTCAATGTTCGAACCACTTCTGATGGCAAACCAGAATTTGATTTTTCAACGGCACTGGATGACATTAAAATACCTGAGGACACAGACTCAGAAATCAGTAAACTGAAAAGGCAGGAGCGGCAAAATCACATTCCAGAGTCAGATTACTCTTTGAGGGTAAGTTTGTGTGTATATTTTCAATTAATAGAAGGAAATTGTCTTACTACCTAAGCTTTGAATTAACTATGAGTTGTCATGTACTCTCTGTATTTTTCATTCATGTGCTGTATTTTTGTTTTATTTATTATTAATTACTGTACAAATTTCAGGAGTTTGAATAAGAACTAACTATGGGTGAAATATGTGGCATATGTCCAACAACTTCATGGCCTAATTTCTCTGAAATTAATAACTTCAGATTCATGACTGAAGTTCTACTAGCTGCCTGCTTTGCAATTTTTGTGATTCACTTAAAAAGTTAGGGAAACCCTTGAAATTTAGGAAATTCTGTGGTTTTGTATTACCCCAACTCGTCTCTCCTCTCTCATGAATGTTTCTGGGCCTGTAACAGGCTGTGTATGATACACTGTAACTGCATGTAATTTTTTTCCTAGGCATACTGTGCAATTCTGTACTTGAAACCAAGGATGCAGATAATACTGAGAGGCAAAAAAGTGCGCACTATGGTAATAACAAAGAGTCTAAGCAAGACTGAAATGGATTACTACCGTCCTTCTTTGAGGGAGGGGAACACACATGCTGGAGCTGTATCCTTAATTGTCAGACTTTCTTTTAAAATTAAAATGATTGGTTTGGATGAGGTATACCTATTGACCACCTCAGCATGGACAATTAAACCCTTTGACCTCGAAGAGTGACGAGCATCTAATTTCGCCTCACAGGTTAAGGTAATGAGAATAAATAAATTGCTCACTAACTAGAGAAGCTCTTGATTGTGAATATATGCATACTGATGTTAGGTTGTAAAGAGTTAATCAATAGGCTGCACTTTGTTTTAGTTAAGTGGTATAGTAACCCACTGTGGTTGTGGGAGAACACAAGAAAAGTCAATAAATCAAGCTAGGGAGGTGAGTAATTTGCAAACTTTTCTTATGTTCTCTCAATATCCCAAGTAGATTTTTACCTTGGTAAACCCACAGAGAGTGTGGTCTATTGGGTTTATTAAATAAACTTCAGTTTTCTATGGGTGAACTGGTGAAAGAAATGATAGGTTTTTGCCCAATCAGGGTGCTTGTACTATACAAGTTATTTTATGTGCAATTTAACCCTTGAACTCCCATGAGTGACCGAGACAGAATTTCACCTAACAATATCAATACAATATCAACCAGATAAGAGATGAGAATAAAGAAAATTATCAATTTGGGGATAATTAGTTGATCTAATACGAAATTCTCTGAACTAAAATAGTAAGAATTGTATGGTTGACAGTAAGGAGAAGTACAAATTTGATCTGGGAATTAAAGGGTTAATTGGAGTATGGGTTCTGTAACAGGATAGGTGTTACTCAGCCATCAGTGAAATTTACTTGGAACAATACATTCAGTTAGTGTATGTAAGCTCTGTTTCCTGGTGGTAGAATGAAAATTTCCAACAATCTTTCCTTAACTTGTTGACAGTTGAATGGGCAAAAGACTAAAATCACATTTGGTTTTAGTCAAAATAGAAATCATTATGGAATAATGATGTACCATCGCAACAGACTAATCAAGCCGTATGTCCGTGTTGGCTATCAGTTGAAGGTAAGGTATTTATAATTTAGTTATTGACCTTCTCATTCTAAAGATCCAATCATCAGATCTTCTTATTGTCTGCTATAATTTATAGTGGTAATAGGACTGAGTGGAGTCCAATTTGGTCTGTAATCATACAAGAGATTAACAAAAATGTATGACCGCAAAGGAGGAGTCCAATTTGTGAATCACAAGTATGATTACAGACAAAATTGGGCAACACCAAGTTCTGTTACCAATAACTCAAAACTATGAAAAAATTTGAAAAAGAAACTAGACATTGGTTATGCGTTTTCATAAAAAAAAACCAATAGGTAACTTGGCAAAATACAAGACAACAGCAGGTACTCATGACAGGTTCTGTCCACTTACACAGGCATGATGTGTTCACTGTCTCTTTAACTGTACCATTACACTGTCTAATTACAAGCATGACATGTACACTGTCCTATTAGTGATCAAATTGGCTTGGTGATCATCAATCACATTTGCAAATTTTGTGTAATTTGAATTGCAGTTGTCAAATTTGCAGTCATTTGATTTGTAAATCACAAGTATGATTACAGACAGAATTGGATGGCAAGAAGTCTTGTTACCAATTAATCATAATCATTTCAATTTCCAAAAAAACAAATACACCTAGAACAAATATCTCCAGTGGGGACAATGTCTTAAGCTAAAATTCCTCCATTTTGGAAATTCCCCTGTTTTTCTTTGGATAAGTGGTTGTTGCTATGGTTATTTTGATCATTTCTTTGATTGGTGGATTAGCTGAGTGGACTTCCACTGTCCAATTACAGGTGTCTGATTACAGCCAACTGTCCAATTACATTGTCTGATTACAAGTGTACAGAATGATTAGTGAATAATGAACCTGCCAATGCACCAATAATATTTGAGGAATTTGTAACGGTTATGATTATAGGGTAAATAACTTTGTTTTAAATCAAGTAATCTCCCTTAACCTTTTTTCCTCCCAACATGTCCTGAGGAATTCTCTTTTCTACCTGCCATACAATTCATATGATGTTAGTGTGGATAATTTGGTATTACATCAACTAATTATCCACCCAATCAATATTTTTCTTTACTCCTATCACTTGTCTGCTTGATATTGTATCAATATTGTAAGGAGAGCTTCTGTTTTGGTCACTCATGGGAGTTATAGGGTTGAGTTGAATTTTTTTCTTTCTTCACTTCCCCTTGATGCTTGAAAATTATTATTTTGAAATGAGAAATTCCTTTTTTATCTCTCTTGATGTGAAAGAATAAAGAAGTCAGCTAAATAATTCTTAAAACCTTATGGATCTAAATTTGTCTTTCATATCACTGGTATAAGCCAATGAATAGTGGGGAATTAATGGTAATTTCAAGAAAAACAATTATTTACTCAAACAGCAATTCCAATCACTATTTTCTTGTACTGTTTCATTACTAGGTGGGTCAGTTTTCCTCACCTTACCTTTAATTTGTCTTTACTTTCAGGCTAACAACTTAGGAGTGGGAGTTGTGGGTGTAATTGAATGTGATTTTCTACAACCAACTCATAACAAACAAGATTTTGACTACACTAAAGCTTACAGGTACTATTAGATTGATAGGAAAGTTATAATTTCTAAATTAATGTAATAATATTTCCATCGCTGTTTCTATATTATGAGTAAAAAATTCAACTTGTGACAAATGTTTAACATAAAATTTGTCAAAGGCAATTGTAAAACCTTCTTTTCTAAACAGTTATTCTGAAAACTTATGTTATCCTTATTTTGTTATTTACAGAGCCACAATAGCAGCTTTGGGTTCCAAGCTTAATGATTACTGGTAATTACAAAACTGTATATATGTTCTATTTGATGGTTTAACATCTAACATTTGCAGATGTATTTTGCAATTTTTAGGATATTTTTGCCCTTTTTTCATATTCAGGTGAATTTTGTTTAGAGGAGGGGGGGGGGGGTTCTCTTTGTAAAAGTCCAGAGTGTTCTCAGTGAATCTAAATGTAAAATTCCACACCCCTCCTGCAGTGTAGCATTTGTACTTTAATTTGAAACCAAAAGTTTCTTTCCTTTCTCCCACCTTCCATCCATGTTGAGATTTTTATTGATCCCTAAAAGGGGTTGGTATGCAGTCTCTTGGGACCCACAGACTATTGATCTCATACAATCACAGATTATGAAGTTCTTCTTACAGTGAATTTAGAATCATACCATTTTTAATCTTTCACTGAAGGAATGAGAAAAAAGGCCCTCAACGTGCCAACAGCAAGGAACCTATTCCAGAACCTGTTGAAGTCCAGTAAGACAGCATCCCTTTTTGAGAATTTTTTAGTTAGTCAATTTTTCATCCTTTGGCAGCTAGCTAGTTTTCCTAGGTGGTTATAGAGTCTTGAAACTTGGTTACCTACAAAATGTAGAACTTGTAATTCTCTCTCCATGGACTTGAATTTCACCTGGATGTTTATAGGTCTCATTATCTTGAACTTTATTTGATAGTTCCCATTGTATATGGATATTTTTTAGAAACTGATTCCATGAAGTTATCAGCGAAGAAATTCTCCTATCAATTTTAATACATTGTCAACTAGATATGTGACAAGAATCAGCCAAACAATTAGCAGATGGTGTTTGGTTTGTACACCAAATTCCTACAATCAGCCAACAAAGAGAATCATGATGGTTACTAGTTGTTAGAATTAACCACCAGATCTTGTAAGAACATAGGAAGTAAGGAAAGAAAAGGTTTTTTTCAAAATGTTCTTTTTGTTTTTCAGACAACTCCCTGACCAAAGCTGGGTTCAATGTGACGACTGCCTGAAATGGCGCAAGCTGCCTCATGGCACAGACCTTGATAAACTTCCTGACAAGTGGTACTGTAAAGACAACCCCAACCCTAAAATTAGATCTTGTAACACCCCAGAGGAGAAGGAAGATGAAGTTGAACAGGCATATGTCAAGACACAAAAGAAACGCTTGTAAGTGAAATTGCCGAACATGTAGTTCATGTAGTTCGTCCTTGTAAAATGTAATCAGGATTAAGTTTTTGATCACAGTAGTGACATCAGTTTCTTTTAGATGTTTTGAATAAAGTGGTCATCACTTAAAAATAGAGAAAACATCAAGGTTTGCCTTTTTATATGTAAACTTTTTCAGCACCTCTTGATTGATGTTTATCTTTCAATCTTGACTGAATGTAACTAAGAACAAGATAATGTCAGATGTTTTTTCCATTCTTGAGAAATTCTCTCATGTTCTCTGTCCATAGGGAAAAAGAGATGGAGGATAAAAAGCGAAAGGAGAAGGTCAGTGCAAAAGAACCTTTTGTATTTTTTTCATTTAATGAAGTATAATCTAAAGGTCTGTGATAGATATAGGTGAAAGTTCAGGTGCATGACTGAACAGGCAAGAAAATGTTATATCAGAGAGAAAGTCATGAAATTTACAGTAATGTTTTTACATAATGAAGGCTGAATACTGATTAATGTGAAATCAAAAACACTTGATTACTTGTTGGAAGGGACTGATTTTCATTTATAGAGTGAGGAGGGGTGGTGGCAGAGGAGCTGTTCAAAATCATGGGTTTTTCATCAATTTTTTGTTTAGGGTTACAAAAAAGGGCAGGGACCATATAATTTAAGCAAGTACATGTATTTCATGAGTATCAGAATGAAAATGTCTCTGAAGTAACTCATCAATATATATATGAGTAGCTAAAATACTATCATTCAACTAAGCATGAACAAAAAACACAACATAGATTTGCTGAAATTCCACTTACTAAGCATATAAACTGTAGGAGGAAAGGGGTAAAGAGTCTCGTGAAAATGCAAACAGGACACACCTTTACCCTGCCCTTACCCTAACTCTGTTGTGACTAGTCCCTAAAGCAAAGTTATTACATGATGTAAAACCTTACCTTTTTGTACATCTTTCATTTCAACAGGAAAAAAAAGCTGAAGAGGTGGGTGACTTACCTTACACTGGGAATTTTATGAGAATATTCCCTTGATTACTGTGTGAATGTGATTCCTCCACGAAGTATTTCATCTTACATCTTTATTATTGCATGGTTTTCTTATCAAATGATTTACCAGAAACCTTATACCACCTTCATTAAAGGCACAATTGATAATCCTGGTTAATGAATTTGGCACAACTGACAATTTCCTCCTAGGCAAGAAGAGCAGAAATACAACAAAAAGCCTTGGAGAAAAAAGAGGCAGAGTTGCAAAGGTTTGTGAATTTTTTCTGGACAGTGTGCACATTTACTGAAAACACATTTTTGGAGATTACATGAGCTAATGCAGAAGTGAGAAATGACGTTGTGTACACATAAAAAGTTTTAAATTGAATTTTTTTTGAAGAATGATGTGAATGTTAGCCTGATAGAAGCTTGCAGGTTAACCCACAGAAAAGGAATCTCCTTTTTGATTTATGTTTTTCACCTCTAGATTAAGACAACAGCTTTCTGAAATGGAGTCAGCAAATGAACCGTCAATCATGGAGACAATTGAAAAGAACAGCGCAAGACAACAGCAAGCCATTAGACAGGTTAGACAAACTGATCTGCATCTTGATCTTCTTTAAATCTTTTGCAGAAGTTTCATGACAAAGAATGAAGTGTTTCAAGTTGGTTAAACCAGAGACAAATTTATTGGGAACCACAACCTCAATTGCATTAATTTAGGGTTTCATGAAGTTTCAAATTAGGCCAATGTAACACACACTCCTTTCCCATGTCAATCCCTCCATTTCATGACGACAGATACTTGTTATTTTTTATTAACTTTATTGAATGGGATTAGTAGGCATGTCATCATGTGTGCTTGGTCCTCAACTTGATAAAACGAGCCACATCTAAATAGCAGTGGTAAACTCTGACATGCTCAAATAGCAAGCTAAGTGCTGGTGGACAAAATCAATTGTATTGTTCCATTTTTTAGCAGGTAAAAGGAGAGCAAAAGTCACCTCAGCCATTGAGGATAAAGGTAAGTTAGGTTGTTTCACTCAGAAATAGTGCTGGATAATGTACATGTGGATACTGTTTGGCAGAAACTATTGACTCTCCATGAATGTGATGACATCCTGCCAGTATCGGATTCACAGCCTAATTAAGCAGAGAAAGACGTATTTTCAAGCTTATTAAAAGATAGCAATTGCAACTGGTAAATTAGTGTACTTAAGTATCCAGCAACTAAAATAATTGCAAACGTGACCTATTAATTGAAGGTTATCCATTGTCTTTCAACACTCGTTTCTTATCAAAATGTATTAATTTTTCTGTCTCCAATAGCTGATTCAATCACCCTCAAACAATCTGAAGGTATGTGTGCGTTTGTTATGACTACTGTAACAGTCACATCTACTTTTCGTTGGTGCCTGCATTCCTTTCAAGTTGGGTGTTAATTGATGTTATTATATGACGCGTAAGGCCTCGCGTGTGCAATTCCATGGAAAACCATCGGGAAAGCCGACGTGTGTAGGGCTAGACGGGTTGATGTGGACCGGGGCGGTAAAAGCCGTCCGGCCCTGCACTGACATGGCTTTGTTGCAAAAACTGATAGACAAAAACCAAATAAGTAAAAAGGGGTCGCATTTTTCGATGAATTGTGACTTTCTTGTTCTGGCTTGGGAAAAAAAACCAATGGAAAGTATTAATTGTAGAATCTTTTTTGTCCTGTGTGCGCCCCTCCATTGCTTCCTATTTTGGTTGAAGCAAAAATTTCGAAATTTTCAACACTTAGTAGTCATTCGGTGAAATGCTTAATACCTGAGTTCGTTTGGGCTGGACGTGAAAATATTTGGTCGAAGTCATAACGTACGGACCAAGGGTAGGTAGGTCCTTCCACTCATTCAACAAGGACACATGATCTTCATGTAAAGATCAGTTTTCATTTGTTCTTCTAGATTGTGGTCATTAATTGGGGATAATTTTATATTGTGGACTGTCAACTTAAGGATCTGTTCTATATAATTTACTATGAAATTGGCTCGGCTTGAATCAATGTAGATTGGTTCACTGAAATTATAATGATAACAGTATTGAATCAATCATGTCCGACTTCAAGAAGAATTTAAAGCTCTTCGTAGGGTGAGACAAGGTTACTGTTTAATGCAAGATGCAAGTCTTAACGTCACTTCAACTTTCTTCTTTTTCTTCCCCTCAGTGGTGGAAATAAGGGTTACGGATTCAAATCAAAGTTGCAGGTGTGACATATTTCAATTCTTTGATTGTGAAGCATAATTCGCTCTCTTCTTAGCAATCGTCAGGGCAACCTCAGACTACACAGGTTGTTTCTCGTAACATTCTGGTACCTAATGGTCCCAAGTCACCATTGATATTGAGACGAAACGCAAACCAACAACAGCAACAGACGTCTGTCAAGGTTGTCAAAGTTTTCTCATCTGTTCCCTCCAACCAATCACAAACTGTTTCTAAGCCATTGGTGCAAATTGTGCCAAATCCTCAAGGACAACTTCAACAGCAGACCCCAAAAGTTGTATCTGTACAGTCCTTACAGCAACAAGTCAATCAAGGGCAGTCAACAGGACAACAGAGGGTTGCTATTCAAAATATGGTGCTCTCATCAGGGCATAAAGTTCACCTGACCACACCTATCTCCCAGCCGAGCACCTCAACTTCATTCCAGGTGAGGGCGTTGCCTATTCAACCCTCGCAACCTCCAAAACAGCAACAGAGTACAGGCGTAGTTACTCTGCAGACAACACCAGCATCGCATAACCAGCTTCCTCAGAAAAACAGTACTCCCTTGAGATCGCCTGCCATGTCAACAAGTTACAAACCTTTAGAGTCATTACAGGAAGTGAACCGACAAGCAACACAAGCTTCAGTGGTATCACCAGTGTCTGCAGTTATTCCAGAGGTCAGTCCCCCGACAAAACAGTCACCTACTGAACTCAGAAATCACGTGACGATGCAAGACAGATATCGATACATTGCGCCCTCACCACAGACTCAGGTAGCATCTGTACCAGTGTCATCTGCTGCTGCTGGCGTGGTGGCTCAGTCTGTTCAGCCACCAGTAGTTAAACCCTCAGTCAAAGTTGGTGCTCAATCTGTTGCGTCTACTGCCAATCAAGTATTGCAGGTACTGGATTAGCCTCTGCTTTTGATGTTGATGTTCTTATTATTTTACCGTAATGTAATTTATAACATTACTCGAATGTTATAGCTATTACTATTATCATAATTATTAGTAATATCATTACAACTATTATTATTATTATTTCCCCTTTCTCTGTGTCTGTAGGTCCAAATTAAACAGGAACCAAAACCAGCGGTCCCTGTAAGCACCATGTCATCAGGGCCCAGTATTCAGATATCTCAGGTGTATTCTGGAGCCCCAGCAGTAGGTGCATCTACAGGTCTTACTGTGAAAGTAAAAACCGAGAAAGCCGACAGGTAGGACAGGACATTTCCCATCTTCTATATTTGTACTGTGGGAATCAGTTGACAACATCATAAAGCCGATCAAATTGATTCAAGCTCCTACGCGTTTCACTTGACAATTGAACAATTGTAGACTTGATTGGGGACTGAAACAAATAAATATTTGTTTTTGCCTCTCAACGTTTGGTTTTCCTCATGTTTGAGTCTGAACAGTAATTGATTGAGCCGTGAAATGTTTTTAGTCCTTTAGTGAATGGGAACAAGAGAGCGCATGACAGCGACGATGACGTCATCGAACAACCAGTGCCGCAGAAACCACGCATGGAGAAGGAAATTATTTTCATCGACTCTCCGCCCTCGGCCCCTCCCCCAGAGGAAAAGCCTGTGGAGGGACTATCCGACAGTAACGGAGCGGCTGTAGAAGGCGTCGATGATGACTTGATCGTCAAGTTCAGTAAACTGAATAAAGAAGAACAGTGGATCAAACTGGCGCAATCCGCGCAACAGCTCAGAAACCTTCGCGATAATGTGTGCAAACTGTTGAGGGTTCTTGTACCAGAAATAGAACTGGGAGACAAATCGGAAATTCTGGACGATACTACTATAGATAATCTTTTAAAGCAAGTTCTTGAGGCAAATGTGAGCCCAGATGCTGCACAGGGCACATGAGGCCTACCCCGAATGCCACTTAGCTTAGGAACAAATTTTTTATTTCCACTTTTTTTACTGACTCAAGATAAATCTACCGATACTTTTAACGGTAAGCCGGCGTTTTTTATTTGAAAATACCATTGTCAATAGTGTTGCAAAGCAACCAAGTATGTCATGTATCATTCTTAATTCAATTCTGTCTCCGAAAATGTGGTCGCTTAATTTAAATGGACGAGAGGACCGTGCGAGCAACAGAAAAGTTGACAGTAACTGAAGTTTTGGTATGTGATGATTGACGTCGTCGTCACGCGTTCGCAATCAGACTTACTAGTGAGGTTTCTTTTAATAAATTCGTTCAGACTTACTAGTGAGGTTTCTTTTAACACGTTCAAGGTGTTTGTATTTGTACAGCTTCGTTAAGTCGGGTTGTAAACTTATCATATTGCAAGCGCGATGCTCGCGTAGCTCCAGAAAAGCTCGTCTCTGATCTGGACTCGAAATCCGAATGTAGGGTGCTGCAGTTTTGAAAGAATTGAGAGGCGATGTGGTTACTAGGGAATTAGGGAAAGTATATCGAGACTAAACGGTGGAGGAGTATAACAAGATAATTTTGATTTTATCAACTGAGTTGATAATGTTAATTGGCCATCGTTAAGAGTTTCATAGCTGACGTTTCTGGCGTTAGTCCTAAAACAGACCGAATGATGAAGGGCTAACGCTCGAAACGTCAGGTTTAAAACTTAACGGTGGCCAATTTACATATCAACTCAGTTGATTATACCAAAATTATCTTATTGTATCGTGACTAGTTGTACGCCTCTCAAATCTCTTTGCGAAGCTTGATACTCCGCTGTGAAGGGTTAGTTCTCAACAGCGAGGAACGGAACTGACCAATCACCGCTGTTGAAACGTCACCTAACACAGCGGAGCATCATGCTTCACAAGATGGCACCAACCAGTCGACTTCATCGCCAAGGAAGAGTAAAAAATCTTGGGAAATGCATCCAAAAAGCGACGAGATAATTTTATGAGGGGGGGGGGGGGGGAAAAGAGAAATTAATATAGACTACTTCGAGAAAGAACAACGTGATCAGTGATGGAAGGTCGAGCAGCAAGCGCTTGGCGGTAACGCAAAGAACACGAACGTAAATCTGCAGGCACAGTGACTTAATGTTACCACTGTTATGCTCCTCAGCTGACTAGCAAAACACTCAAGGCGGCTGATTATTTCCTTACCATACCACCCCTCACCAGACGTAAAAAATGTTTTCAACACTTTTAAGTATACCTTTCCGTTTTTTATTGTACGGCTTATAAAAATAAAATGCTGCCTTGAACCGGGAAAGGAAATACCCAATTAAATCATTATTAATTACAGCTAATTACTTTGCAGAGTTTCCTTTATACAGTACGTAAAGCCTAACGCTAGACGTAAGATTCTTCTGTGAACAGAATGTTTTCGATATCGTCATGAGAAGGAGCAGGATAGGCTCCGCTCTGCGCGCGCGGCGTGCGCACTTTAGCGATGACTTGCGCTGTCTGTGGGCTGATTTTGAGCCCGTTAGCTTGCGCATTCTCGCTAAGAAGTTCCCTGATATCCCGAATCTGCGTCACGTCAGTTCTGCCTTCGGAAAACGTTGAATCAGCACCGATGCTAGATCGTTCGTCCAGGCTAGACACCGACGACGAAGACGAGGTTGCGCTTCCTCTCCGAATTCGAAAAGATCCTGGCGAATTGGGCACTGCCGAGGTCCCCCGAGCATCAACTGAAGATGCCCAATGCGTTTTTGATTGAGCTTCGTGAGGAAAGAAGTCGGAGTGTGGGAAGTGAGTAAGAGAAGAACTATAGGGCATGGAAGCTGTACCAGCGGATGAAACAGAACCAAGCGCTGATCTTAATTGGCCAGAGCCATGACTTGACGATAGCCCGACAGTTTTTCGAACATTTTCAGGCGGCGGTTTTTTATACGACCCTTCACTTACGTTTCGTTTCTGATGAAGGTTAAGTCCAAATGGTGAATGTTCCAGTTTGCGGATTCCGGCACTTGCAACTGTGCTGGCGTTCACCTCCTCCACTTGCTCCCATACGTTATCATTCTGGCTCGTTGGCGACATTGGCGTTTTAGGTGTCGAGGAAGTTTCGCTCCTTTCCGAATCCAATCTATCGTTACCGAAGACGCCTAATCTCCCAGGGAAGCGGGGTTGTTGCTCTCTAGCTTCGAAAAATGCCTTTGCTTCCCTTGGAGAAATATGGTCCTTGCTAGAATCCACTTCTTTGACCTCCTTTCCTTCTGCACCCTGAAAAAACGCAGGTTTTGAATTCAATTCCCTCCTCCGCTGCATATGTTCCTGATACGATGGCGCTGCAGGTTGTCTCCGACGATCGACAGCTTGGAAAACTTGATCGGGGTTTGGAGACGGAGAGCGAGGTCCTCCAGGCGATTGTTTGGATACGGGGGAACTAGGTGGCACAGGAGATGTCGAGTTGCTATCAAGACTGTCCGAAATAAGACCTTGCGTTTGTACGGAATGTTTAGCTTCCATAGCCCGTGACAAAGACAATGGGTAACTTGATACAGGATGAAGACGCTGGTATTGCGTTACATTTTGCGTGACAGGAAACAGTCGCACAGTTTGAGGCGAGTGTGCCCGGCGAAGAACAGCAGTCTCTAATTTCCGGCCACTAGCCGTAGTCTTTTGAGCTTGTTTATGTTCGATAAGTTCAGCGCTTGTCGTTGTACTACTCAGTTGTCTTTTAGAGCTCGGGTATTTCCGACTGCTTTTCATTCGTAATTTCATCGAATCCGGATGTAACCCGAGCGGCTCCGAACTTCTACGACTGATCGCTGCATGTCCTTTCGTTTTATTGGGTTCATAAAAAGCGGCGCTGAGTTTATTAGAAAACTCAACGTCGTGCCTCTTGAGAGTGGGCGATGAACTCGGGGAAGGAATTCCGGAATCACAAGGAGAGCTTGGAGTACTAACACTCTTGTTCGTTGGGTGAACTGCGAGCGTGCTTGTTACATACAAGTTCGAATCACTTAAGTGAATAGAGTTCCTTTCTCCTTTGGGACTCAGAGGTTCCGGTGATTCTATCCCGTCATCCGTAGAGGACTGACTCAAAGCAGTCCGTGAGTCCTGGGTACTACCCTCCGAATCGCTGGTCACATGATTAGTGGTGACGATCTCGCTACGATCGCCAAGAATCGTCCTTACTTTATCTCCCATGATAGCCACACTGTGTTCAATAATAAACTGAATCACTGGCGGCACTGAGTTTGATTGCTCGGTGGCGGGAATGCTGGAACCTTTTGGCGCCCAAAGCATGCTGGGAGCCACACACACGGCCAGGTTATAAGCGTTCATGTTATTGGTCTCCGCATTGTCAGCAATGTGATATAACACGCACAAAAATGACTTCAGTAGTTCATAATTGAAACGGTTGATCCCGTCCAAAATCCTAAAAAACAAAAATGTTGAGAAAAAAAATTTAGCCGCATCGAAGTAAATACAAACTTAGAGTGCGCATCATGATTTGAGTGTCGAAAAGGCAAACCCGGAGACACCAAAACAGCCAATAAGAAGGAAAAAAAAAACCTAAAGAGAGCCAATAATGGCCCAGAGCAGTCAGTCCTGCACCAATCACAGAACATGGCAAATCCAAGCCAATACGATCCCGGATGGCTTTATAAATTCAACTGAAAATGACAATTATGACCGAGCTTCTACACTCGGAGACAAAATTGTAATTACTCGAAGTAAATCGCAACATCAGGGTAAGTAGACTGCAATTCTGTCGGGCAAAAGTTATTCCTAGCGTCCAAAAAACACGAAAAAGATATTTTCATGATCAGGTATAACACAATTTTACGGCGATACACCACGTTTACTTTCGCATGAAACATAAATTGTATTCGCAAGAATGTGATATTAGAGAAGAATTGTCTTACCCCTTTATTTGTTTCACTCTTTCGTCCTGATCTTCGATGTTGTTTGTGGCGACTAAATCTTCGTAGTTTTCACTTTCAAAAATACAGTCTGGCAAACGGCGAAGGAATTCCTAAAAATAAGAAAAGTCTTCAAACTAACTTCCATGCGATATAGCGGCCGAACTTGTGTACAAGTATCATTTTACCATGTAGTTTCCATCGCCTTTAGAGTGGTAGGAATACACTAGCTTCTCAAGGAAAGCATATTTGGTTATCGATCGGATTAAATCGAGTTAAAACAACGACGACAACCTTTTGGTCAGAGCAATAAAGCAATTATCTTGTACCTTCATGACAGAGGCGGTCACGACTTCTGATACGTCTTCAAAATCTACCAATTTACCTAAAGGAGACAAAAGAGCACATTTACAACAGGCTCAAATAATTATCGGTTATCTTCCAAAGTAACACCGCTCTACAGAAATCCGTAACTCCTCAATGGGGCTCTTTTGGGAGGAGTCGATTTCATTAGACCTCAGTTTGCGCACTTTTTATGGCCCCATTTCGGAGTACAAACACCAACGGCTGCATGTCATAACATTTAAAGAGATACATTCTCAACCACTTTACGTTATAAGCCCGTCGTCGACTCGTGGGTGCAAGTTAAAAGAAAACCTTTTCAATTTGTTCCAAGGGATACAGGAAATATTTCAATGAGAAATTTGCGTATGATAATATAGCTCACAAGTTAAAATTCATTAATCAATTAATTAATTAATTAATCGATAAGGACCACTTTTCACCTTCATCCAGTTCGATTTTGATTTCTCTAGCAATCCTGGCATTCGCCGATTTTCTGAAGATTCCTGTGGTACTTGGACCATATCGAAACAAATGTAACAACAAATCCTGTACTGCTTTGGGTACAGGCTCTTCCTCGGTACACAGCTGAGTCAGAGGTACTCCGAAAAGCCTGGAAAATCAAACACAAATTGATATGATCGCAAACACAATTCACCGCGACGAGTAAAGTGAATCTCCATTACCGTGAGAACTGAATCAAAATCGCCGTGAAATAAAACAAAATGCTAAGCCGTTTCCTAACCTGCCCCGTGCGAAGTGTAACTATCTGTTCCATTTTGCGAAACACGACGGGAAAAAAAAAAGAAGTAAGCGGCGTTTTTGTGTAGTTTGCCACCTACTTCCTCGTAACGTCTTGCGCTTCACGATCACGTGATTAAAGTTGTTTCGTAGCATATAACATCTCCTATGACTGGACCCAAACATGGTTCTTTTCAAACATGTCCCCTCCCTCCAAAGAAGTAGTTTACCTCCTCGACCTTTACATCTTGAAGGGGCCTCTTCGTCTTTCAACGGATTGGAAAGCACAAACTTTCAGTTTTTCAGATTGGAAATGACCAAATTGAAAAATCTACACTACTCAAATTCAATCCTTCTTGTGTTAACATGTTACGCAAGAAAGTTAACCGACGCATTCTTTATAAAGTCATGACTCCACTTACTTTCCAGCTGACGAAGAATTTCCATCCAAGGAGTTTCCTTTAGTTGATCCCGTAGTTTTCTTGTGCATGGCCCAATTGATTATCGGCGATTTCTTTATCGGATTTTTCCATCGTTGCTTGCTAGGAGCATTATGAACATCTATCGACAAAACATGATAAAATTCAGGAGGAAAATTCTAAATTAAAAAACACTTGCCATAGTAGTTAGCCCAAAAAAAACTATGGTGTGAGGCAAAAATTTTTATATTTAGGACACTTTTGATTCCGACGCGGTGCATTGATTTTCACCCCCCACCCACTTTGCCTGAGAGCAGACCTCATTGTTAGCGCTAAAGGACGCGCGTTTGTCCACCCACAGGGAGACTTGAGACGAGTCTAAGAGAACGCTAACCAGGGGTCTGGTACTGAGACCTGTCGCAGGCTCGCGTTGCTCAAGGCGTAATACTTTCCTGGGGCTCAGAAACGCTCGTGCTACCCATAAGGCCACTGCGTCTCCCAAGCACTTCACTTCGCCTGCCACGATACAAAGACTGTTTACAAGCTTTTATTACCGCTTAAATTTACCCCTCTGCACATGTCACGTCGCTAAAACTGCTGACCAAATTTTACCGTTTGGGTAGCTACAAACTTTATTCCTGCCAGCTGAAGCTTAAAACCTCACCTATAGCTATTCTGTTGGGTATTTTCTTGTTCCTTTTAAGAATAAACTGACATTGCGTTTCAGGAGACAACGGATCCATTGACGGCAGTTGCTGGTCAAAGTCAAAGGGAAACCCATCTTCATCCGTTAGCGCCGCCTCACGCATGTGGTTCATTTTGATCGCGAATGGAAACTCATGACCTACACAACGATCAAGAAAAGAGAGAAGTGGAGTGAGAGGTTTAAAACTTGTTATTTGATAAGCAGCACCAACTATCAATAAGGAAAAAAAATGAACATTTTCTATTGTGGGACCGTTGCACGAAAGCCTTGACAAGGAACAAGAAAATTTCTTCATAATAGAAAACGAAGAGCAGAAAATACGACTGAGTCAAAAGTCGCTTCTGGTAAAGAACTCTCTCAAGCAACTTAAGTCATGATAAATTTTTTTTTTTCCCTGATCGTCGTTTACTTCTCAGTCCCTCAGTTGACAATGTTTTCGTTCTTGTCATTTCACTTCTATACATTGTGTAGACATCGTAAGATACTAGAAATGTTTTACCTATTAATGGGTACGCGCCGTCCTCTTTGCCAGAGAGAACCCACAGCTGAAACTCGGACAGATCTTCAGTCTAACAGAAACAAAAGGATTCATTTTTTATACACAGCATTAAGTTAAAACATTGTTAAACTTTTGAAAAATCTAGCCTCGGCAATTAAAAGCGTTTAGATTATTTTGGAACGTCGTTCTTGTTTTTACTCTATATCTAGTTCTTCTCAAATTGAAGCCCCTCCCTGCAGCTGAGTGTCGAGGAGGGGTCTTAAGTAAAACCTACTTCATGAAAGTGTAATTAAACTTACCTGAAATTGAAACTGCGCCAATGACATTTTAACGACTGTAGCTGCATCGTCCATGTTGGTGACAGTGAACGACTTGGACTGAGAGAAGAACATATTTGAAGTAAATAACGTGATAACCTGAAGGCAGTGACATTATTACAAAGGCCGCCACGAGAAAAACTTTAGAGAAAATCTCCCATTAAAATGTTACAACACCACTTGGTTACGTTGCTGCATCACCAGAATACCAGTAGTCCCTCGTTCCGCGCGAAATCCCTCGTGCAAGTCAAATAACAATTGGTTCATACGTCAGCGTGCGTTCATCGAGATATGAAGCACGCGGGAAGTTTGGAGAGTACGAAAGATGCGTAAGAATTGCTCAAGGCGTAGTCGAGAGCAACTCTAGCTTCTCGAGTGCTCTCCAAACTTCCCGAGTGCTTCATATCTCGATGAACGCACAGCTGACGTATGAACCAATTGTTTAATAACATTTTCAACCCGATGGAAAATTTTTTCCTCGAGGGATTTGTTTGCTGACGTCATGAGCGTGCACAATAGGAATATGAAGCACGCTCGCGCAATTGAATTTGATTAGACAAATTTACTAGCTATGTTATCATAAATTTGACAGAAAAATATCCTGGCGCCACCTGAACTGCTGAAAGCTTCCCGGTGTTCACGCGGGGCAAGGATAAAATGCCGTGACTTTTTTTTGGTCGATTTCTATTGAATCGTGCGACTGATTTTTCTACAAAAGGAGGAGCTGTTATATTTCAAAAGATAATAGTTACTCTCTAAAGCGAAACTCACATATCCTGAGGAGTCCGGTGACTCCATGTCCCTGTTATACACTTTAAGGCTGACACATTTTGGATCTTCACTGTCCTTCTGTTCTTTCACGTGCCTGCGAATGAAAAACAAACTAAGCATGACAACACTCCTTGAAAAAATAAAACATAAAATAAAAAAATAAATTTTAAATGAGGATTGGTGAGACGTAGATACCTAAATGAGATAAAGGAAACAGTGTGTGAGGAAAGCAGCTGGGTCATGGTTTGTCTACCTCAGCGTTCTTCTCTCGCGAGTGACCACTACGTCATTTCTTCTAACAATATCAATACATTGTAAAGCACAAAGAAAAATATTGAGTGGAGGATATTGTCTTATCTACAGCCAAATTCCTGAAGCTAAAATTAAATGAAATGTATGTGGACAGTAAGGAGAATTAATATCGAAATCCTGGCAGTTACAAGGTTCAATGGTTCACTCTTAATATTTCGACATCTTTGTCTTTAATCTGAGTTACTATTTGCCATTCTTCCTCCGTCTCTAGGAGGCTAAAAAAGACTGCAAATATCATAAAAAAGATTAAAGAAAAGGTAGCGATACTCAAACTTACTTTGTCAGAACACTGTGCCAGGCTTCCTTGTCCTCCGGTGTACTGCAAATCACAAAACATTCCAATCAACAATTTTAGTCGATAATGGATTTATGAACACTGACAATACCGAAAACAGAGTCATAACAAACCATAACAATCAAAACTCATCGCGAGATGTTATCAAGGTATTAAGTTTCTCGCACTTTGTGATTCACCACAATTTTGATGGACCTTATTTATCCTTGCCGTCACTTTTTTATTCCATAAACATTTCTCAAAGACCTTGGACTGTTACCTAAATATTTCCTGCCCTTTGAGGACAGTTTTGCCTCGACGTGGAAAAAAAGCTCTTTACATACGCGCAATTGAGAAAGCGTCACACTTAGACGGGAATCATTCTTACTTGAACGCAGCAACAAAGTTTGTAGTGGGCCAGCCAATCACAAACGACCTGTCAGCGGATTTCGTCGATTCACACACGTCATCGAGACAATTAGCCAACCAGATCTCACTAACCCGAACTCGATGCTTAAGCTTGAACGTCGCAGACCTAGAATGTTAATAACGAAATCATCACTGTAAACATGGCTGCAAGACTACCTATTGTTTTTACAAACCCTTTTTTTCCCACAATAAGCGCGATGTAAAATGGTTGCTTTTGCTTACCCCAGAAGAGTTAAAAGAAAAAAAAAAAGAAAAAAAAGGATAAATGAGAATTACGAATAATAACCCAATTGACTATACACGAAACGACAGTAAGACTTACCTTGGTTTTGCTATTAAAAGAAGGTCATCAAACAAGAACAGATGTCTGTCTTGAGAGGACATACCCTTGAAATGACAACAAATTGAAATATAACTGGTGAAAAAGCATCCAAGCATCATGGATTAAAGCTTACTCATAAACAACAAATGTCGAAGTCTCTGAAGAGATTTTGTGTGAAGAACTTCCTTCGTGATGTTATTGGATCAGCTCGGATATTTCGTTCTCTCCCCCCCCCCCCCCCCCTCCAATCCCTTCCCGAGTCACGGATGCCTTCTTTCAAGTCAACTTCGGAAATAAGTTGTAATTTGGCGCTTAGCTTCGGACTTACCTCACGTTTCGATATTTCGTAAATTGATCCGTATATTTATATTCTTTCACAGTTTTCTTTAAGTTGCTTCGTGCTTTTCCAAGGATTCATTTACACTTTCATTTTAAGGTGAAGAGTCGACGACCGACAGAGCAATTATTTGGAGAAGAAAGCCACAAATCAGAAACACTTACCGAGGATAATTGCACTGGACCTTCCTTGATGAAAGCCCTCGCTGGGAAAACTTCGGGAGACAGAGGAGAGCTGGGTTCGGATGAATTCTTCATTCGCATGCTTCCGTCTATCGTCGAACTAGAAACACAAATTTCCGAGACGATAAGCAAGAAAATAACCAACTTCGCGTGATCTACGGTATCCTGGTTTAAGGTGGTTAAAATTTACCTCAATGAAAGTCGGTTTGTTGAGACAAGCAACACCTCAATCACTTTGACGCACAGATAGAGTTTAACAAGTTGAACGCGAGGTACATTGATTGTACTCCAACCAAATTATCTTTCATGTTTACGTGACTAAACATACTTTACATGTTATTCAGTAATTATCGACAACATCAAAGTGTTCAACGCCCTAAAAAAATCACTGTCTGGCAGTCAAGCGGAAAGCAATTAGTGATAATCGGGGAAAATAAAAGAAGCCGGCTGTTTATTGACGAATGCATGTATAAACACTGAAAAGATTTAACACTTGTTGTTAATGAAAAAAAAAATAAATAAAAAATACTACGTAGAGAGCACTAATGTTTACTTTTAGGAAATAAAACAAACTGACGAGAACCTATAACATCGACGAAAACCTAAGAACTCTCAATATCGATTTCACTGATTTCAATACTAAAGAATTATGCAATTAATTTGAGATTTCAATATGAGATGAGTACAGCTACACGTCCCTTTTCAACAACTTCCCTTCTTGCTTTCAAAGGTTATCAAATGCCAACATCTGTCATAGAAGTTTTCTTGTTGGATATCATTGTCATATGCTTTGACTTTGAATCCGCTCCTGACTATGTCACTTTTAAAAAGGTCTTCAATTCTCTCTCACCAATGTTTTTACCTTTTTGAAGAATGCGTTTTTCCTCCCAATGCGGCTTTTATTACAGTTGTCGGGGCAGATCGTCTCCGAGAACTGCCTTGTTTAAGTCTCTGTTTAGGAAAAAAGACAATGACTTTATTCACATCGTTTTTGTGGAGTCATTTATTTAAGATTTTACTGACGTGTTATGGAATGATACGTCCGTAAAATCGCGAAGAATAATCTGAGCCCTGAGGTAACATTTAGAAAAATCGAGCGGGTGAAAGTTTATTCTTCAAAAGCACTGTTGCTATTGACACTGAATGACGAATCATACACCATTTCACTTCATTCTGTCGATGGAATTTACTCGAACGGTTAAAATGTAAACCAAATTTGAAGGAAAGTATATTCCTTTGGACGAGAAACATTTCATCACAGTTTGATGGTTGCTACACTAAGGCAGCAACTATAATACGAGTAGTAAATTGTTTCGTTTACACATCGGCTCGTACAACACAGATTACATCGCTAATGTACTGATTAATTGAGACAAGTAGGTTACACTCAAGTGGAAACACTTGAGCATTAATGAACCACCTTTAACTATTTAATTAATCGGCCGATCAGCAACTCCAAACTGGTACGCCGCGAGAGGATGTTTAGACTTGAACTTCATCACCGAAAAGGATTTCTTACTCAACCCTTTACAATCTAACATCAGTATGCATATTCTCCATACTGTTCTCTATACATTTCCTAAGGTGCTGACGGCGAGCTCTTGCTTACCAGTCGAGAGCTGCTTTAGTTGCTGATCATTTCCTTTATTCTCCTGAACTCAATGTTTGATTCAGACGTGTTATTGTGAGGAGAAATTAGATGCTAGTCACTCTTAAGGGTTTAAGGGTTAAGTTCTCATCGGTTGCTGTTATTATGGTGACTATAAACACTGCTCTATCACCTACTCATAATTCTCTTCACTGACTGTAACTGGTGTTGTTCTAAACGCCAACGACCAGCAGCGCTAATAATTTTGTTGTTGCTAGCACACTATAAACTTACGTGAATATTTTGTTTTTCTTGAAGGCATAAGTTATCACTGGGAAACCTGTCTTGGATGTCGTAGATTTTGCACTGTGAAAAGGAACAGACTGACATTAGTGAAAATATTAAGAACAACTTCGCAAAAAGAAGATTAATTCCTCCTGTGACAGGAAAAGTTGTTTTGAACACGACCTTCACCTCAACTCTCTCTTGACAACTTTATAGCCATTGTGGCGTGACGTGAGACGTAACGTGGACAAGTTATGTCAAGTCACACACAGCTACACGAGTTATATGTGAGGTCAATAAATTCAACTGAGTTAAAAGGTTAAGCTATAGTTGAACTTCTTTCACTACATCTGCTTTTAAGATTTGAGAAAAATCCAGATCGCATTTTTCAAAGATTTGTCAGTACTTCTGTTGAAAAAACTGGTATCTGATGTCCAACGTAGGCGTGACAAAGATCAACCCACACATCGAAGAGAACTTTAGTGTAAGTGAAAAAAGAATCCCACTGAGTGTTGCATCGTGTTCAACAACGACAAACCTTACAAAATAAAGAGAACAAAGACAAAAATCCCTTGATGACGCTGTGTTATAAACCGAGTGTTATTATTACAGAAGGCGAAGCATTCTACTTATTTAAAATGATCTGAACTGTCTGCAGTTTGGCTGATAACGGAACAAGTGGGTCTTGAATGACGAGATGCACTTGCGATACTTAACCGCCAGGTAACCCTGATATTCTAGGGCAAATATGTTGCTTGTTTACTGCAAAATGTCATTATCAGTGTTTAGCAAGCCTCAAAAGATTGAGATAAAAACTCGAAAAATGACAAGGGTACACTTCGTGTTCTACTGGTGATGAGGAACAGGAACAACAAAAGAAAGTTTACTCCTTTGAAATTGCAAGATTGTGTGAAACTTTCTGTGGCAGAAAAGCCACCACGACGGGAATTAAATCCACTCTGACTTAAATTAAATTTTATCCTTTAAATATGAGCGAAGGATTTTGTGCGGAATTCAAAAATACAATGAAATCTTTCCGCTTTTTCAGGTTTTGGCCCGAAGCCCTAACCCATAAAACCATTTCCGAACCCACAACTACCTGAAACATTTCCCTGAAATATTAAAGTGTGCCAAACCACTGAAAAAAAATTAATTAAAAGATAGTTAAAATGTATGACTAAATAATGTTACTTGTCAAATACCACCAACAGTGCAACAAGTTTTTCCGACTGCCCCAAAAGTGACGAAACTCAAACAACAATAAGCTGTCTTTAAAGCTCGGACGTAGAACGGCGGAAAAGCGCACATAACGTGCTTGAAAATAGAATTACCAAGAACACTTAAAACAACTTGAACTCTAATCCAGCTTAAGACCATAAGGATGAAAAAGGGAAAAACAAGTATGCAAGTTTGCATGACTGAAAACACATAACATGTCTACAAATCGTGAACACAAAATTAACAACTGCAAGCGTGACATTAATTCGACGCTGGATTATGGTTGGCCACAAGGACAAACAAGAGAACAGATATGCATAACAAACATATGCAACACTCGTAATTATTTTGCCAACGCAAAGTTATGATTTTCAGACAGTGTAAGGAAAACTCGAATTCTGATTCGGCTTAGGATTATTAAGTAAAAATGAAAACAGAAAAAAAACAGCACGAAAGAGATAAGTGGGGTGGCTGGACTGAAAAACGAACCACTGATTGTGTACTAAATGTGAGAACAAAACTTGAATCATCCAACTATGTTAAGACGGGGAAAACCTGATCTTACTCCGACGTGATCATTCTGAGAAAAATAATACGGAATATGTACGCTATGGATTGTTTTGAGTGAGAACAAACACGGAAAATCGTCGTAATCGGCTTGTTGTCTTTACAGGTTCACAGTTGATGCAAGTAAGGGCTTAGAATTGAGCTTATTTCCTGTAAAATTGATATCATGAAAGATCGCACTAACGAATTTAAAAGATAACCGATTGATAACGATGTAATGAACAACTCGTGAAATATTTAAGGTAGATATGTCACGGCATTAACACCCTTCAGTATATGGGACAAATCGATCGAAAATAAAGTCATTTCAAGGCAGACGTAACAAAACAATGGCCAAATCAAGGAAATGAAAGGTTTCCAAATTCCACTAAGGTGATATGATACCACATGCTCCGACAAATAAAATTATTTTTAAAACACAGGAAATGAAATAATGTTGCGACAAATTTCTCGATGAAAAAAAAGACAAATTGCTGTAATAAAGCGCACGAAAGATTCACAGAAATGCCCCAGGCAAAAGAACCATTGAAGTAATGTAGTTGATCATCTGGGCAAGAGTTATCGAAGTAAGTTGTCATTCTTCTACTGGAATGCTGAACACAATAGCTGCTCTTGAAAGTGATACTGACCTTCCACTCACCAACAAAACTAGAATGTTTCTTTCATCAGGGTGAAGATATACAAAACCCTTCAAGCTAGCCACAAAAACTACGAACATTTAATAATTCAAATCCGTGAGAACACTGTTTTTTCATGTTTTTCCATTTCAGCAGTTGTCAAATCTATCGAAAGTAGAAACAAAACAGATTGCAAGCGGATGTTTGTTACACAACATTTCAACAACTGCGTGCCACTTCGGCAGCAAACACGTTAAAAATGCCAAATTTTTTTCACTGCTGGGAACATTACCTGAGCTTCGTCTGTTCGCGTTTTAAGAGCTCGGCGAACCACCACAGGACTGTGAGACGATACGATTCGCATGGATAAGGCGTAACTTGGCGGCTGTGCTGTACGGACCGGAGTTTTGGTCGCCATAGCACAAACTTCACTCGACGGATGTAAAACCATGAATAGCGATCTTTAGTTCCACAACAGTCAGCAGCAAACTAACATTGTGTTTGCAGAAGTTCCGACGACCCCAATTGAATCGCCCGCTAATTCAAAGGCCACGGATCATACGGCGAGTAGAGAACATAATTTAGCACTTTTCAGCTCAACACCGACCCAGTTTTGTCTTGGCTCGCAAACCGATGACCGACCTTTGACGAATTAGATTCAACCGACCACAAGATCGTGACTGGTGTGAGAACAGTGTCACAGCGTTGCTCCTCTCTCCATGAGGAATGAAGCGAGGTTATTACCGGTTGATAATCGCGTTAAAGTCCCGTTAATCCAAGCAATACTATTTCACTCTAGCCAGACGCCCGACTTTAGAGTGAACACAGAAAACAGAGGTCAAGTTTCAAGACTATCTAAGCAACTGATACAAAGTGATTGCATTTCTCAAATTGTTAGATTGTATTGCTTTCACATAAGACTAAAATCAAACTGACCTCGATAAAAACAAATAACGTCAACCAATTCCAAAATTGCGCTTGTCACTAACCCAAATAAACACACAAATAATATCCCGGCTTATAAATACTTGAGGATTTGGAATGTTTGATGGACCCAGGGTATCTCGAAAAAAAAAAAAAAAAGAAAGAAAAGAAAAACAATGTGAACCTGCCTTCGAAAGGTCAAAGGACGAAACTGGCGATCATATGTATCACGCAAAAAATAATGAACATAACTTCACAATACATCGGAAGGAGATACAAGTCAGTAAGTTGATTCATCAACGACTGAAATCCGTGAATTAACAAAACATGACATTGCTCTTTTTGACCACTAAGAATACCGCATTCCACTGAAAGAAGTTTACATATGTGTCCGGAGGGTTTACTCTTGGAACTTCTGGGTGGACATGTGACTTAAAGAAGCTAAACTCGTAGGTTATACTAAATCGTATTCGCCTTCTAGACAACGGCAAGATCAAGTTGTACTCAGGCCAGAAGAGGGTTCTACTTTGAAAGGAAATCAAAGCTTTGAATACAAAAATTACTAGTTTGTAAAAAGTATTGTTACATTTGATCTGTTTCCATGATTACTATTCCAAACGAAGACCAAAATTCTGTGAATTTTATCCCTGCCCTTCACCACCCCCCCCCCCCCGCGAAAAAGTGCTAGACGGAAAAACGTCTTGGCAGTAATGTAAACACTACTGCTATATTGCGGTGCAAAATAATTAGCTAAGCGAATAAATACATGATAAAAGAGATCTACGCCGAAATCACGATATCTCAAAAAAAAAATTTTAAACACGATCCCTATTCATTGCAAGCGAATAACATCAAATGGCCTTCTTCAAGTGTGATAATAAGTTCATGATAACGATTAGCTGATTTAGAACGCATCAATTGAGCTTAGATTTCATTTCGTTCAATACAGCAATACGTTAGACATCTTAGAGATGCGGAAAGGCGGACAGGCGGAAAGGCTTGATATATTGTAGTGGCAGACCCGCCGGCCTAATACAACTATTGAGCGTCAAGTAGTCGGACTGCAAATATCAACCGCGAGTTCTTCATTCTAAGCTTAAATCCTACATGGAAAAACATACACCACAACTTATTGATACAGGTCGGTTAAACATCAGGGCGAGATTAAGCTAGATGACACATTTGCTGCAAATCCAAACAAGCACAGAATGCACTGAAATAACAGTAATGATGATAAGGTAACTCATAAATCAAAACGGATTGTTGTATGAAATTCATACAACAGAGATGAATGTACTTCACATATTTGCCGCGATTTCCGAAAAAAAAGCACAAGGAAGACTTTGCCAACATAAATAATGACTGTAAAAGTAATTTTCACTAGAATTTGTGTCTATAGGAGTGGCGGGTCTTGACCGAGGGTCAGACATAACACACAAACAGCACTTCTTGTGATCGTAATGTTACTGATTAGGTCATAAAAGTGAATACTTAGGTAGCTGAGCATTTTCCCGGTTCACGAAAGAATTGTCGGTTATATTCGCATTTTTCTTTCGTCAAGATCCGAAGTTTAAATCGTACTGTGCATATCAGCATTGAAACTGCTTTAGAACATTCAAAAACTGAATTATTACAAACCAAGACCTTAACACAATACTATGGTAAATTTAGAAATCCAATTTTTTGGCTTTATTGTTTCCCACAGATTTCAGAATAAAAGCTTTGTGGCTTTGTGGCTTTGCGGCTTTGCGGCAA